GTTCTGAGTGGAGGACCATCAACAGGTTCTGAGTGGAGGACCATCAACAGGTTCTGAGTGGAGGACCATCAACAGGTTCTGAGTGGGGGACCATCAACAGGTTCTGAGTGGGGGACCATCAACAGGTTCTGAGTGGGGGACCATCAACAGGTTCTGAGTGGGGGACCATCAACAGGTTCTGAGTGGGGGACCATCAACAGGTTCTGAGTGGAGGACCATCAACAGATTCTGAGTGGGGGACCATCAACAGGTTCTGAGTGGGGGACCATCAACAGGTTCTGAGTGGGGGACCATCAACAGGTTCTGAGTGGGGGACCCAAGACTCCTGTTGGAGACATAGGGGTGGATCAGGCCCTGGATGTATTCAGGCGCCTGACCATGAAGTGCCAGTGTAAGGACTTCAGGATAGGAGTAATGTGGGCTCTCCTGTGGGTACAAGCATATGTTTGTATGTTTGTATGTTCGTATGTTCGTATGTTTGTTTGTATGTTCGTATGGGGCTCCACTTCATGTCATTTCGCTTATTTCCTGTGTTTTTATGTTATTTATTATTATTATTATTGTTTTTGTATGTGCTGGTGGGATAAACAAAGTCTGAATCTGGACTGCCACCTTAACTCATTGACTGCCAGCCCATTTCAAAACAGGTACTCCCATATTGCCAGCCGTTTCTGGTGGTTTTTACTGATTTTTCAAGACCCACAGAATATTGTGTACTTTGACTATCTGAAATCTAAAACTAGATTCTGAAAGAATGGGCTGTCTACTCTCACCAGCAAAAAGAATTTTGTTTCTATCTTGTTTAGTTCTTCTGTAATCCCCAGTTGAGTAGAGGGAAGTTTTATTGAAATCACCAGAAAGCTGAGAAAAAAGGGCCACAAACAGTGCATCTAGCTGTGTTCAAACCATTCATAGCGCAATGCTGCCATCTGCTGGCTCCATAAAGTATTGCCTCAAGCCAATCTCCACATATTAGATTCAATGGACAGCTGGGAACGTAAAAATAGCGGGAAACGCAATTGACGTGTTAACACGTCATTGGCAGACAACGTTACTATTTAGTTTGACGTGTTAACACGTCAATGGCAGTCAATGAGTTAACGTCAGAATCAGAATCATTTTTATTGCCAACGTAAGTAACGGGAGGTCACAGACTTGGAAATTGCTTTGGCTCAGTGCAACAGTCAAAAAGAGATAATAAAAATAAGAATAAAAAACACTTCTAAAGAATAAATTTAAATTTAAATTTAACGTGGTGGGGGAGTTTGAGTACTCGGATGATCCTGGGAGCTATGCTGTCTGGGGCTTCATGCCCCTGGTAGGGCCTCCCATGGCAGACAGGTCTCAGGTGACGAGTCAGACAAAGAGCAGTCCAGAAGACACCATGGACAGCACTAACACGAAAACAGTGACGTCGCCCGGCATGGCGCAGCCGGGGCCCCACCCTGGAGCCAGGCCTGGGGTCGGGGCCCGTATGCGAGCGCCTGGTGGCCGGGCCTTAGCCCACGGGGCCCGGCCGGGCTCAGCCCGAAGGGATGACGTGGGCAGTCCCTCCTGTGGGCCCACCACCTGCAGAGGGGTCCGTGGTGAAGCGGTGCAGAGAGGACTGGGCGGCAGTCGAAGGCGGAGACCTCGGCGACCCAGTCCGCACACACAACATCTGGCTCTTGGGACGTGGAACGTCACCTCACTGGGGGGGAAGGAGCCCGAGCTCGTGGGGGAGGTTGAGCGATACCGACTAGAGATAGTCGGCCTCACCTCCACACACAGCTTGGGCTCTGGAACCCAACTCCTTGAGAGGGGTTGGACGCTCCACTTTTCTGGAGTTTCCCGCGGGGAGAGGCGGCGAGCTGGGGTGGCCATTCTCATTGCCCCCCATCTCAGCCGCCACGTGTTGGAGTTCTCCCCGGTGAATGAGAGGGTCGCGTCCCTCCGCCTCCGGGTGGGGGACAAGTCTCTCATTGTTGTGACGGCCTACGGGCCTAACAGCAGTGTAGAGTACCCGGCCTTCTTGGAGTCCTTGGGAGGGGTACTGGACGGTGCACCGCCCGGGGACTCCGTTATTCTCCTGGGGGACTTCAACGCCCATGTGGGAAACGCCAGTGACACTTGGAGAGGGGTGATCGGGAAGAGCGGCCCCCCTGATCTGAACCCGAGCGGTGCTCAGTTGTTGGACTTCTGTGCCAGTCGCGGTTTGTCCATCACGAACACCATGTTCGAGCACAAGGGTGTCCACCAGTGCACGTGGCACCAGGACACCCTAGGCCGGAGGTCGATGATCGACTTTGTTGTCGTATCATCTGACCTTCGACCGCGTGTCTCGGACACTCGGGTAAAGAGAGGGGCGGAGCTGTCAACCGATCATCACCTGGTCGTGAGTTGGATCCGCTGGCAGGGGAAGAAGCCGGTCAGACCTGGCAGACCCAAGGGTATAGTGAGGGTCTGCTGGAAACGTCTCGCTGAGCCCCCTGTCAGACGGACTTTCAACTCACACCTCCGGGAGAGCTTCTCCCAGGTCCCGGCGGAGGAGGGGGACATGGAGTCCGAGTGGACCATGTTCTCTGCCTCAATCGCCGATGCGGCGGCTCGTAGCTGTGGTCGCAAGGTCTCTGGTGCTGGTCCCGGCGGCAACCCCCGAACCCGGTGGTGGACACCGGCAGTAAGGGATGCTGTCAGGCTGAAGAAGGAGTCCTATCGAGCCATGATGGTTCGGGGGACTCCTGAGGCAGCTGTCCAGTACCGGCAGGCCAAGCGTGCCGCGGCCCGGGCTGTTGCAGAGGCAAAAACCCGGGACTGGGAGGAGTTCGGAGAGTCCATGGAGCATGACTATCGGTCGGCCTCGAAGAGATTCTGGCAAACCATCCGGCGCCTCAGGAGGGGGAAGCAGTTCTTTGCCAACACCATGTACGGTGCGGGTGGAGAGGTGCTGACCTCGACTGGGGATATTGTCGGGCGGTGGAAGGAATACTTTGAGGTTCTCCTCAATCCCCCCGTCACGTCCTCTGTTACAGAAGCAGAGGCTGAGGATGTTGGGGCGGGTACATCCATCTCCCTGGCTGAGGTCACCAAGGTGGTTGGTAGCCTCCATGGTGGCAAGGCTCCGGGTGTGGATGAGATCCGCCCTGATTATCTAAAGTCTCTGGATGTTGTAGGACTGTCTTGGCTGACACGTCTCTGCAACATCGCGTGGCGATCGGGGGCAGTGCCAATGGAGTGGCAGACCGGGGTGGTGGTCCCTCTCTACAAGAAGGGGGACCGGAGGGTGTGTTCCAATTATCGTGGGATCACACTCCTCAGCCTCCCCGGTAAGGTCTACTCCAAGGTACTGGAGAGGAGGTTACGGCCGATGGTCGAATCTCGGATCCAGGAGGAGCAGTGTGGTTTTCGTCCCGGTCGCGGAACACTGGACCAGCTCCATACTCTCCATCGGATACTCGAGGGTTCATGGGAGTTCGCCCAACCTGTCCACATGTGCTTTGTGGATTTGGAGAAGGCGTTCGACTGTGTTCCCCGGGGTGTCCTTTGGGGGGTTCTCCGGGAGTACGGGGCGGAGGTCCTCTGCTGAGGGCCATCCGATCCCTGTATGACCGGAACCAGAGCTGTGTTCGCATTGCCGGCAGTAAGTCAGACCTGTTCCCGGTGAATGTTGGCCTCCGACAGGGCTGCCCTTTGTCACCGGTTCTGTTCACTGTATTTATGGACAGAATATCTAGGCGCAGCCAGGGGTCGGAGGGGGTCCGGTTCGGAGACCACAGGATTTCATCTCTGCTGTTTGCGGACGATGTTGTCCTGTTGGCTCCAACGAACCAGGACCTGCAGCATGCACTGGGACGGTTTGCAGCCGAGTGTGAAGCGGCTGGGATGAGAATCAGCACCTCCAAATCCGAGGCCATGGTGCTCGACCGGAAAAAGGTGCCTTGCCCTCTGCAGGTGGGTGGAGAGGTCCTTCCTCAAGTGGAGGAGTTCAAGTATCTCGGGGTCTTGTTCACGAGTGAGGGAAGAATGGAGCGTGAGATTGACAGGCGGATCGGTGCAGCGTGCGCAGTTATGCGGTCGCTGTATCGGACCGTTGTGGTGAAGAGGGAGCTGAGCCGAAAGGCAAAGCTCTCGATTTACCGGTCAATCTTCGTTCCCTCCCTCACCTATGGTCATGAGCTTTGGGTAATGACCGAAAGAACGAGATCGCGGATACAAGCGGTCAAAATGAGCTTCCTCCGCAGAGTGGCGGGGCGCTCCCTTAGAGATAGGGTGAGGAGCTCAGTCACACGGGAGGAGCTCGGAGTAGAACCGCTGCTTCTCCACGTCGAGAGGAACCAGTTGAGGTGGCTCGGGCATCTGTTCCGGATGCTTCCTGGACGCCTCCCTGGGGAGGTGTTCCGGGCACGCCCCACCGGGAGGAGGCCCCGCGGAAGACCCAGGACACGCTGGAGGGACTATGTCTCTCAGCTGGCCTGGGAACGCCTTGGGGTCCCCCCGGACGAGCTGGAGGAAGTGTGTGTGGATAGGGAAGTCTGGGCGTCTCTGCTTAGACTGCTGCCCCCGCGACCCGGCAACGGATAAAGCGGAAGAAAATGGATGGATGGATGGATGAATCTGAACGTAAACCGCACCAGCTACATTTTAAATATATGTTTGTCCATTTACAGGTCACACCGTTAATGATCAAAGCAACTCTGGAAAATTCAATCTATCTGAAAATAAGTCAAAATAATAAGTCTTCAAACTCTGCTCTGATCAACCCTAATCACACATCAAAAGCTCTGTGTACTTTCCTACATTTCCTTGTGTCTGCTGTTCACATAAACATATGCTCTGGAGATCAACAACCGATAGAGCTGTGTCCAATCTGCTCTTGCAGCCAATCTATATTTGTATTTTGTTAAAGCTCCCCCGGGTCCATCATTATATAAGAAAGAAGCGCCTTGTAGTCCAGAAAGTGGTGTATTGAGCAGATTCTGCAAAATTTACTTTTCAAAGTCGAATCATGACGAGACATTTACCTTCTCGTTGCAAAAAACTGAAACCCAGTCGCAACTTCAATGCAGTCCTCACGTCCCGGGATGACCAACTTTTTATTCTCCATCAGAGGAAGCAAAACTGAGATCTATGTAGACAAAAAGGAATTATTATTATTATTTTTTTTATTGCGGTACATGGCTTTCTTTTTCAACACATCTCAGCACAGAAGATATTTACCACATCCAGAGGAGCGTGGTCGATGTCCTCCAGGAGGATCCACTGACCGTTGGCGACAGCTTGAGTTAGCGTTCCCGGCTGCCACACAAACTTCCCTGGAACGTCAGTGCAGCGGTACAGGCCCAGCAACATCTGACGCACAACAATAACATGAATCATTATATTTTAAAAAAGGTACAGTAAAGGATTCTTGTTAGCTTAGCAGTAGCATCAGAGTCAAAACCACCGCTTTCACATTATCAAGATTATTATCATTTCACTTTCGCCGCTTCACCCGTTTATTATTGTTATAATAAACAAATACAGTACATATGTACACTATGTTGTCATTTAACTTTCCATTCAAACCATTTACAGAAAACATTATTAATCAATTAATTGATTCATTAATTTTTAAGCTGTAATCAACTCGATTAAACATCTTAATCGTTTGACAGCCCTAATATAAAAATAAAAAAAAAGATAAATATTTTCCGCCCAGGCCTAATAATGACCATTTAATACCACACTTGTGAGTGATTCTATCTGAGCCAAATGTGAAATGTGCATTCCTCCAGTGTGAGATCAATAACGTTTCTGATCTTAATATCTTTCAGTTTTAAGGGTCAAATCCATTCCTTACTTTGCTGTCTGTCTGATCTCCGAGCTGGACCTTCATGATCTCCCTGGCTTTGTTATGTCCTGTGACGGAGGCCAAGTATTCCACCAGCGACGTTTTTCCACACCCTATCGGCCCCTCCAGCAGCACCGGTCTCTGGGAAGCTACAGCCAATGCCAGCCTCCGGAGGTTCTGACAGGTCGAGTCCACCAGCACCAGCTCCTCCTGTCTCTCCTGTTTGATCACATGAATATTATAATTGTATCTCGATATGAAAATACATAGTCTAATGGTTGTTCCTGTGTATGTACTTGTTGGATCAGCCGGGGGGCCAGGGTGGGCAGGACCACCCCACACACAGCCACCACACTGGGGCACAGATCCTCAGAGACCACCTGACCTCGGGTGAAGCGACTGGTCTTATCCTGGTGCCACTTTACAGACGCTTGATTGACAAGGACCAGGGACTTCTCCACCTGCTGCTGCTGGTGTTCTTGAAAGCTCCTAATGCGGGTAAATCAGTAGTATCATAATTAGTAGTGATAGTACCTCATTAACATTGGAGATAATTACAATAACAATACATACTTTATTTTCATGTGGAGGATCTCTTCACTGGACAAGACCTTTCTGAGGAAGATGGTTCTCTGGTTATCAGTCATGAGAGAGACCATGGATAAGCACTGGGCTGTGTACCTGAAACACAAACAAATACATTTATAGAGACATTTCTGGCAGGTGTGATGTGTCTGTGGGAAAGACCTTTAACCCTCCCTCCTCCAGAGTTTGTTTACACTGGGGGACCATCAACAGGTTCTGAGTGGGGGACCATCAACAGGTTCTGAGTGGGGGACCATCAACAGGTTCTGAGTGGGGGACCATCAACAGGTTCTGCGTGGGGGACCATCAACAGGTTCTGCGTGGGGGACCATCAACAGGTTCTGCGTGGGGGACCATCAACAGGTTCTGAGTGGGGGACCATCAACAGGTTCTGAGTGGGGGACCATCAACAGGTTCTGAGTGGGGGACCATCAACAGGTTCTGAGTGGGGGACCATCAACAGGTTCTGAGTGGGGGACCATCAACAGGTTCTGAGTGGGGGACCATCAACAGGTTCTGAGTGGGGGACCATCAGTGATGTGTCTGTGGGAAAGACCCTTAACCCTCCCTCCTCCAGAGTTTGTTTACACTGGTGTATGATACGTTTGTGAAGGTGAAGTGCTCCGAATGCCGAAAATGTGACCTTTTCTTCTATTCTTGTCTGTAAACAAAGTGCCGGACTCTGGGGTGAATAAAGTTTAATCAAAATGTCCTCTAACGTGTGTTGACATACATTCTTTTAGAAATCATATTCTAACACACAACGCCGCAAATGGCGAAGTGGCACGCTCTCTGCCAAAACAATTTCCAAGTGGTAACTTTGTTTGTTACTTACGTGGCAATAAAAATGATTCTGATTCTGATTAATAATAGTTTTTGAGCAAATTTGTAAATAACGCTTGTTTCCTGAATTTATAATAGTCCCCAAGAGTACGACAGGAACAAATAATGGAACAATTGAATAAGCATTTGGAAACAAGCCACTAAAGCACCTCCTACTATGGACAAAGAAACTACATTTTGTGTAATATTATGTTATTATATGCATGAAAACAAGAAGAACAGTTATTATATGTTTGACCATTTGGCAGTGACTCAGGACAATGAGTGGAGCATACCCTCGCACCAGCAGGTCGTTGGTGAGCAGCAGTGGGACACACGGACTCCAGTCCCACAGACATCTGTATTTGGAACAGTCGCTCTGAAGGAAACCAAGAGTCGCTTCCATGAGGTCCCGGAGCTTCATGCGGCGAGGCCCGTACTGCACGACCGCGGCCTCTTCCTTCGAGAAAAACAACCTCTGGAACACTGGCGGAGCGCTCCTGAAGTATCTGGCTGCAAAGCTTCAGAGACAAATATTATTCTTTATGTAAACGAGAATATTTAGGAGTATTTATTACTGCATTTGTTAATTACAGTAGTTATCAGAGTAATGACACAATAACACTGTGGGTGGCTACTGATTTAATAAGCAGTCAATCCAAACAGGAGAGTCCCGGTTTGGTAACATCGGGAAGGCATAGAGTGGCCTACAAAATAGAGGTTTGATAAAACATGTCACAAAACATGAGTTTAGCGATTTACTGTTTGAATGTATGTGGCACAGATATGTGTAGCTGCAGTTGCAAACAACAACCAAACCTCAACAAAAAATTATAGTTATTATGAGTATTACTGGTGTTTAAAATAGCTTCCATATCTTTAAGGTAGTGGCTCACCCCTCCCTCTACATGTCTGTCTCTCTCTCCTTCAGTCTATGGTAGTCTTCCCCTCCCCCTCCCCCACCCACACTCCCCTCTGACACGCCATATTGGACGAGGCGGGTCAGAGTGACAATGTCCCTTTAAAAAGATCTGCATGCACTGTTTCCAGCCAATAATGTCTGTTGAAATATATGTTTGTTTTTCTCTCTGCTGTTGTCATAAGGAGCGTGAAAATATGTAAATAGATTACGCAACCAGCCTTTATGTTTATTCATCAAACTGAATTTCTCCATCTGTGGGATATTAAAGGATTGATTGATTGATTCATGAACCAAAAAGATGTCAAATTCCAAGGGATATAATGCAGTATAAAATATGCTACCATGTAACAAATAAACAGTGTAATTATCAGTCGTGTACGTACGCTGGGGCATCCGGACTGACGTTGAGGACTTTGCTGAGAGCCACACACAGGCGTTCGTGAAGGTCATGGTTGAATCCATCACTCGCTCGAACTCTTTGCACATTTCTTTCCAGTAAATCCAGAACCAGAGGCCGCAAATGTCGCGTTATCAACAGTGTGTAGTCTTTCTCCAGGAACAGCTGAGCCAGAGAGTCCACAATGCACCGTCTGTCCTGCTGGCTCCATATCTGAGCCACAAAAACACATTATTGTTCAATTCTATTTGTTTTTGTATCGCTCCAAATCACAACAGTAGTTAATCTCGGAGGACTTTACAAACTTGTCAATTCACCAACAAAGATCAGAGAATCAAAAAGTTCAAACATAGAAAATGCAATGATTAAAAAACTTATCGGTCCATAAATGTCCGTGAATGAGCTTCTATATAATTTATAACAACATTTAGCAACTGCAAAGTCGTAATTCGGTCTACATTCAACAAATCAAATAGATAAGAGAGTGGGGAAATTCCACTGTTGCAGCACACATACAGTACAGGACGTAAGAGCACACACAATATACAAAGGTAAGCAGCTGTAAATGCTTCATAATAGCAAAATATATATATTTTATATGAATATATAGATACACATATACATTAATTTCAGTTTTGAAAATTTGTCAAAAATGTGTTCTTCTCAAGCAACTTTGTGAAACTTTATATGTATGCTACTAAAACATGTATGACATGGAAAAGGGCCTTTCCAATATATTTCTGGCACTTATCTGTTTTTGCGAATGAACTATAGGCAAGGCAAGTTTATTTGTATAGCACAGTTCAGGCAACTCAAAGTGCTGAACAAAAACAAGTTAGAAACATTAACATAACATAACATAACATAACATAAATAATCACAGTACATTTATTCAAAAGAGAGAATATAAAATCCCGCAGACAACAGAGAAAGAAGGAAGACTCAGATCGCACACATCAAACCGGGTCAATTATTTAAGATAAATAAAAATAAAATAATAAGTAATAAGATAATAAAGTAGAATAAAAACAATGACTCTGGAGATATAATGTCACTTGGTTCAGAGATATTTACAGATGTGTATGTTGTAATTAGCAGCAGAGAATATGAGACCATGATAATGTAAGTAAGTGGATATGGAATTGAAATTTAGTGTCATTAAGCTAAATGCATGATTTATTAATGATTACATTATCTAGTTTTACATACAATATTCAGTTTTCATGACTTACCTGCTTTGACAAATATTGACTGAGTTGGTTGTGTCGCGTGTCAACATGCTTGGAGATGGTTCCCAGAGACGCTAGGCTCAGATCTAAGTTCTCCATGACTCAAACTAACTTAACAGTGACAGACTAACATTTCTTCTTAACGTGGCGTCTTGTATGAACTGACGTGATGCTACAGAAGAATCACGGCAACGGTGCAGTGAAGTGGGTAACACAGAAGCACGCAGAGTCCACATGTGAGTGACAAACTACTACTTCCGGTGTGTTCCAGTCAGCCCGGTGTGGTCGCGTGATGATGACGTGCACAGTCCGCGACAACCGAGACGAGCGAGCGATATTTCTTCTTCGACAACTTTCAAGTCGCAGAAATGTGGAAAACATCGTTCGCTCTCACAGACAGGACAGCATAGCCCGCTCTAAAGTCCACACCTTTGTTTATTTGAGGCCACAGTTACGTCACGACCATTTTGCAAACGTTATCCGGAGAGACACGGCGGAGTGCGGGAGATGCATGCAGCCGCTGGGCAGTGACAGACCGCGGGAAAGTGCCCCTACTTCCGGTGTAATGAACCCTTGGCGCGCGTGCCCTGCTCCTGCTTGTAAACAACGGAGCGAGAAAGGTAAGAGAGAAATCATTCTATTCTACAGCCACATTAGATAGATAGATAGATAGATAGATATATACTTTATTGATCCCGAAGGAAATTGTACACTCGTCCCTTGCTCGCAATCATACAACAATACATACATAGGTAAGAATTATAAGATGCAAAAGTTAAAAACGAGACAATAAATACATTAAAAACATTAAAAGAGAAGTTAAGGCACTGCAAAACAATTCTCAAGACCCCCCCCCCCCCTGCTCCTCCCTGAAGTGGCTTTGTTATAGAGCCTGATGGCGTTGGGGACATTATCAAATACATACTATATAAACGTACATATAGATCACATGCTTATGGGACAGATGGACCTGCCCTTTACCAATCTGAAAATACAGACTGAAAAGCTCGTTGTGTTGGGACTGTTTTCTATTGTCCGGTGTTTAGTCGATGGCTGTCTTTTGTGAGATATTTACAGTATCATTTCAGTGACCGCTTAAATACATTATAATTACTCTGTGACAAGCTTGACATGTTGTGGCCTTGTTATGGAATTAGTGTTTAGCTTAACTTTGCTTGTAGGCTACTTTGTTATGCTACAGGTCTCTGCACTGGCTCCTGTGGCTCAGGGAATAGCAGCTCTGTTTGTGTACAAGTCTCTCCATAGTACATCTGTGACAAGTTAGAGCCTTATGAACACACTCTGAGGAGGGCTCACAGGGACTGGCCTCCAACTCTGACCCTGAGGAGCACAGGGACTGGCCTCCAACTCTGACCCTGAGAGCACAGGGACTGCCTCCAACTGACCCTGAGAGCACAGGACTGGCCTCCAACTCTGACCCTGAGGAGCACAGGGACTGGCCTCCAACTCTGACCCTGAGGAGCACAGGGACTGGCCTCCAACTCTGACCCTGAGGAGCACAGGGACTGGCCTCCAGCTGGAACTCTGAGGAGCACAGGGACTGGCCTCCAACTCTGACCCTGAGGAGCACAGGGACTGGCCTCCAACTCTGACCCTGAGGAGCACAGGGACTGGCCTCCTGCTGGGACTCTGAGGAGCACAGGGACTGGCCTCCTGCTGGGACTCTGAGGAGCACAGGGACTGGCCTCCTGCTGGTGCTTAGAGACTGAACATAGAGAAGCATTGTCTCAGATTTATGCTGCTTAAATCTACAACAGTCTTCCTGTAAATGTGAATATAAGGATACAATACTTTTCAGTTGTATAGACAGCTCAACAGAACTGTTTTCAACCTGGATTTCAACAGAAAAGTATTGTATCCTTATAATGTATGAAATTGAATATTTATTTAATGCCTTGTGGGATTTTAATGTTTCTTTTCTTGTTGTGAAGCACTTTGACCTGCCTTGTCTATGAACATTGTGCTTTACAAATAAACTTGACTGACCTAAACTTCAATATTATTGTATTTCCCTTGTTTTAGGTCTGCTTTGAGTGGCCAGCAATAGAGAAAGGATGGATTTCAGTGAAGCTCCAGCCTGTAAGCCCACACATTGCTTTTCATTCATCTTTTATCATTATTATTTTAACTTTTAGCTGTTAGATGTGTTTGGAAGTGCTTTTTAATAGTGTGTTTTCTGTTCATGCAGTGTTTGTGCCCGAGAGCAATGATGATTCTATCGATATTTATGAAGACCTGGAATTCGGTTTTAGCAGCAATAATGGTTTGTTTCTTATTGCTGTAATAATGATAATAATAATAATTAATGTTTTTCTTTGTACTAATGTCTTTCTGTGTGTTTAGAAACGCAGGTTAAGGCAGTTTCTCCCGGGCTTAAGGAAGGCATGGATCTATTTGAGGAAATTGTCACAGAGGAACAAAATAACAAAACTGCATCCTACAATGAGGTACGGCCGTTATTTAATGCTCTTCAGTTTAGATAGAATGTTGTGTGTATATCTTTGTGACAGTTGGACTCCTCAGGAAGTTATGCAAAGCTTATAAATGAGGTTCAATTTTGCATAAACATAAAATAGTAGGATGGTGAGGGCAGAGAACGTTTATTTTTCATATAGAGAAACGAATTAAAAACGGACACAATACAGTTTAGTTCACTTAATTATATATTTGTATAGCCCTAAATCACAACAGCAGTTTGTCTCAGAGGCATTCACAACATACAGTTTACCTGTCCCCGCCTGGGTCCTCGTCCTTGATCCTGGTTCAGTCCTGGTTGAGCCCTGGTTGAGCCCTGGTTCAGTCCTGGTTCAGTCCTGGTTCAGCCCTGGTTGGCTGAGTGGATAGCACTCTCGCCTCTCAGCAAGAAGGTCCTGGGTTCGAATCCCGGTCGGACCAGGGCCTTTCTGAGTGGAGTTTGCATGTTCTCCCCGTGTCTGCGTAGGTTTCCTCCGGGTACTCCGGTTTCCCCTACCACTAAAAATATGTCCAATAGTTCTGGCATGCGCCTTGTGTACTGGCCCCGCTCCCATCTCTGTGTGGAGTGAGAGACAAATGCCCAAAATTTAACAATTGTAAACCGCTTTGAGACTCAGATCTGCAGTGAAAAGGTGGTATATAAATAAAGATTACTTACTTACTTACTTACTGGTTCAGTCCTGGTTCAGCCCTGGTTCAGTCCTGGTTCAGTCCTGGTTCAGCCCTGGTTCAACCCTGGTTCAGTCCTGTTTCAGCCCTGGTTCAGCCCTGGTTCAGCCCTGGTTCAGTCCTGGTTCAGCCCTGGTTCAGCCCTGGTTCAGTCCTGGTTCAGCCCTTGTTCAGCCCTGGTTCAGTCCTGGTTCAGCCCTGGTTCAGTCCTGGTTCAGCCCTGGTTCAGCCCTGGTTCAACCCTGGTTCAACCCTGGTTCAACCCTGGTTCAGCCTGGTTCAGCCCTGGTTCAGCCCTGGTTCAGCCTGGTTCAGCCCTGGTTGAGCCTGGTTGAGCCCTGGTTGAGCCCTGGTTCAGCCCTGGTTCAGTCCTGGTTGAGCCTGGTTCAGCCCTGGTTCAGCCCTGGTTGAGCCTGGTTCAGTCCTGGTTCAGCCCTGGTTCAGTCCTGGTTCAGTCCTGGTTCAGCCTGGTTCAGCCCTGGTTCAGCCCTGGTTCAGTCCTGGTTTAGTCCTGGTTCAGCCTGGTTCAGTCCTGGTTCAGTCCTGGTTCAGCCCTGGTTCAGCCCTGGTTCAGTCCTGGTTCAGCCCTTGTTCAAGCCCTGGTTCAGCCTGGTTCAGTCCTGGTTTAGTCCTGGTTTAGTCCTGGTTCAGTCCTGGTTCAGCCCTTGTTCAGCCCTGGTTCAGTCCTGGTTCAGTCCTGGTTCAGTCCTGGTTCAGCCCTGGTTCAGCCCTGGTTCAGCCCTGGTTCAGTCCTGGTTTAGTCCTGGTTCAGCCCTGGTTCAGTCCTGGTTCAGTCCTGGTTCAGCCCTGGTTCAGCCCTGGTTCAGTCCTGGTTCAGCCCTTGTTCAGCCCTGGTTCAGCCCTGGTTCAGTCCTGGTTTAGTCCTGGTTTAGTCCTGGTTCAGCCCTGGTTCAGTCCTCGTTCAGCCCTTGTTCAGCCCTGGTTCAGCCCTGGTTCAGTCCTGGTTTAGTCCTGGTTTAGTCCTGGTTCAGCCCTGGTTCAGCCCTGGTTCAGCCTGTTTGTGGGAACATATCCCTCTCTCAATGTGGGCCTCCCCAAGGTTTCTAATTTGTTATGAATCATTCCTTGCCCATATAGTCGGGTCTAGGGACAGTGATAATCCGGGACATTATTAAGATGGACATTGGTCATCGCACTCCCTCTGGACCAATGGTTCCTTTGTGTTTGTGCGATTTATCAGACGATGATTCATTAGATCATGGAATCATACAGTGGGAAAAAAAGCATTTAGTCAGCCACCTTTTCTGAGTGGCTGAGTAAATGCTTAGCAGCATGGTGGCTGAGTGGTTAGCACTTTCGCTTCTCAGCAAGAATGTCCTGGGTTCAAATCCCGGTCGGAACAGGGCCTTTCTGAGTGGAGTTTGCATGTTCTTCCCGTGTCTGTGTAAGTTTCCTCCGGGTACTTCGGTTTCCTCTATCACTAAAAACCCCTGTACTGACCCCGCTCCCATCTCTGTGTGGAGAGACTAATGCCCACAAACCGCGTTGACTCTGGTCTGAGAAAGGCGCTATATAAATAAATATTACTTACTTAAAAGACTACTTCTCCCACACATGAAGGAGGCCATAGATCTATGAAAAGAAACAATTCAGAAAATCACATTTTCTGATTTTTCTGAAGAATACATTTGCAAATGATGGTGGAAAATAGATAATGGGTCTATAACATAAGTTTTGATTTTATGGATTTTTTTTTTACTCGTTCTGTCATAATTGGTGGCTGACATAATACTTGTTGGCCCGACTGTAGGCATGTGGCCTGCAGGACACACATTTAAATGTCCTTTTCCATTTCTACAGTTAAAATTGAGATATCAGGCTGCTCAAACGCAGATCACAGAGTTGCACAGAAGGTTGGAGCAGTTAGAAGTCCAGGTTTGTCTATTTTTATATTTTAATTTTAATCTATTTTGAAAATCCACTCTTACACATTTAACATTCTACGAATCATTTGTTTTTCAGAACACTGCTTTGTCCAAAAACAACAATCTCCTAAAGATGAACATATCCATTCTTCTTCAAACTGCCAGACAAGAGGTCACACGGAAGGACGCAGAGATTATGAGACTTAACCAAGAGTAAATACTTTCTTTGTTTGAAATTACACATTTAAAACCGTTTGTCACATACAGAACATAAAAAGAAGTGACAGAAACTGCTAAAACAACAAAACATTCACGTTTCCCACTCAAAAAATCAATTCATTCATTAATAATTAACTTATTCATTAGCTTTTCTCTAATCACACACATCCTGGGCTGGGTGGTTAGCACTCACACTTCTCAGCAAGAAGGTCCTGGGTTTGAATCCCAGTTGGAACTGAGCCGTTAACCTTCAATGATCCTCAGTCACATCTTTATGAGTCGAGTTTGCATGTTCTCCCAGTGTGTCTGCGTAGGTTTCCTCCGAGTGCTCCGGTTTCCTCCGAGTGCTCCGGTTTCCTCCGAGTGCTCCGGTTTCCCCTACCAATAGGTCTGAATGTAAATGAGTGAGTGAATGCATGGTGTTTGGTCGGAGGCTTTGATGGACCAGTGTGTTAGGCGTCTCACTTCCATCATCACCGTGTGAAGGGATTGAAAAAATATATCTGAAAGCGCTTTGGGTGACCTTGGTCTGTAAAAATGCGTTATATAAATAAACATTACATTACGTTCTTACTTACATCCGAACTATTCTTGTTTGTTTGTTTCAAAGCAAATTTCTGTGTGAACTTTCTCACTTTGAAGATTCTTTGTTTCCAACTCAAAATAAAATGTCTACTTTTGTTAATGTTATTTAAATAATAATGTTTCCCATAGACAGTAACCCAGTCCTCTTCAAGATGGCAGCACCAGTTTGATCAGTTTTTAGTTAACATTGCTACTCTGTAATTGCAGATCAATAAACGGTCCCTTTCATCAACCTTGGAACCTGCGAGATCAAAGCGGCTCCAATCACAGGCAACAACATGCTTCATCTGAGGCCCCTCCATCTTCATCATCGTCACAGCCTTCAGCACGACCTAGACTCTATGCCTCAAACCCTCCACGATCCACAGTCCGAACCAAGGACCCAGACCTTTCAAGATCAACAGTCCCAACCAAGGACCCAGAACCTTCAAGATCAACAGTCCCAACCAAGGACCCAGAACCTTCAAGATCAACAGTCCCAACCAAGAACCCAGAACATTCAAGATCGACAGTCCCAGCTAAGAACCCAGACCCTCCACGATCGACAGTCTCAACCAAGAACCCAGACCCTCCACGATCCACAATTTCTACGAAGACCCCAGACCCTTCACGATCGACAGTCTCAACCAAGAACCCAGACCCTGCACGATCCACAGTCTCAACAAAGAACCCAGACCCTTCACAATCCACAGTCCCAATGAAGAACTCAGACCCTCAACGATCCACAGTTTCTACAAAGACCCCAGACCCTTCACGATCAACAGTCTCAACCAAAAACCCAGACCCTCCACGATCCACAGTCTCAACAAAGAACCCAGACCCTCCACGATCCACAGTTTCTACAAAGACCCCAGACCCTTCACGATCAACAGTCCTCACAAAGAACCCAGACCCTTCACAATCCACAGTCCCAATGAAGAACTCAGACCCTCAACGATCCACAGTTTCTACGAAGACCCCAGACCCTTCACGATCGACAGTCTCAACCAAGAACCCAGAACCTTCAAGATCCACAGTCTCCACAAAGAACCCAGACCCTGCACGATCCACAGTCTCAACAAAGAACCCAGACCCTTCACAATCGATAGTCCCAATGAAGAACTCAGACCCTCAACGATCCACAGTTTCTACGAAGACCCCAGACCCTTCACGATCGACAGTCCCAACCAAGACCCCAGACCCTTCACGATCGACAGTCCCAACCAAGACCCCAGACCATCCACGATCCACAGTCCCAACAAAGAACCCAGACCCTCAACGTTCCACATTCCCAACAAAAACCCCGGAACCTCCACGGTCTGCAGTCTCATCTAAGAACATAGACCCTCATCGATCTATAGACCCATCAAAGAACCCAAACCAACAATCCACAGTCTCATCAAAGAACCCAGACCCTCAACAATCCTCAGTCCCAACAAAGAACCTAGGACCTCCACGGTCTACAGTCAAATCCAAGGAACTAGACCCTTCACAATCCACAGTGTCATCAAAAAACTCAGACCATCCACATTCTACAGTCCCAAAAAAGAACGTAGAACCTCCACTATTGACAGTTCCATCAAATAACTCAGACTCTTCACAGTCCAAGAACCTAGACCCTCCACGAGCCACAGTGCCGCAGAAGAACCCAGACCCTCAACAATCTACAGTCCCATTGAAGGACCCAGACCCTCAATCCACTGTCCCAACAAAGAACTTAGAACCTCCACAATCAACAGTACCAAGAGTGCCATCAAAGAATCATCTACCTCTTGAGACTTCTGCTCCTCCTCCACCGCCTCCACCTTCTACGAAAGAGCCCCCGCCTTTGCCGCCTGCTCCTCCATGTCCTCCACCTCCTCCTCCACCTTTACCTTTATCACCGCTCAGGGAGGATCTTGCGTTAACGAGAGACGCAGACCACAAGAACCCAACAAGACATTGTCGCACATCAGACAAGCACAGCCACCATTCCAGTAAACACAAAGAGAAAAGACACAGGCGAGACTTGGAGAGAAAAGATAATGCATCGGTTCACAACAGTGATAAACCTGAGAAAACTCACAGTAGCGATAGACACGAGAGAAGACATTCGCACAAAGACCAGGCCTCAAATATTGTGGATTCCAAAAATGAAAGCAAGAAATCGCCAGTTTTAGCACCCGAATCACATCAAGGTGAAGGGTATGAAGCAAAAGGAGGCCAGTCCCGAGAAGACAGAAGAGACCGGACCAGAGGGAGTCGGAGCAAAAGTTCAGACTCTAAAGAACGTAAGCGCCACCAAAACTCTTCTCGGATGGAAAATAGATCCCAAACAGATCAGCCAATGAAAGACAGGCAACTGGAGCGGAGGGAAAAGGGCGAAGCTAAAGGACATAGAAGAGGAAAAGGGAAGCACAGGTCAAAAGAGCACAGTAAGAAGTATTCCAAACTCTCTGAAAAAATGTCAAAGGAAAATAACTTTGCTCAGAAAGTTTTTGTGGAGAATAGTCCCAGCAGAAAGTTATGCTTTATGGAGACGCTGAATCTAACTCTGTCTCCTGTAAAGAAGCCCGAACTAGAAGGTGTCCAGAAAGAGCTAATACCTCAAGAGCTACATCAAATGGATAGTTCTTGTCCGCCCAGCATGGAGAGTATGTGTGTTATTGATGAAGTAAACAGCAGTGAACCGGAGGCAGCCCTTATGGACTGTACAGAACCAAGCATTGAGACCACACCAGGTAAGAAGAATGATGAGAGTCAGAAGGAGGCTGTAATTTGCAAGACTCCTGAAAATAAACTTCTGGAGGTCAATTTGGTTCACTCTACACCTGAAAATAAAGCTACGGAAATTCATGAAGACAATTTTCCAACGTGTATAAATGGCTTAGTGGCTGAGAAGATTCCGGAGGCAGCTAAAGAATCCAATGTAGCTGAAGAGGTGTTTTTGCCGAGTCAAACTGAAGAATCTCACAATGTATTAAGTACATCCGTAAGTCAAGTCACAGAAGATGTTGTTTCCAAACCTGTTGAAGGCAAGTCCAAGGTCCAAAATGTGTCCCCTGATGAATTTCTTACATCTGCCCCCGTCCCTTTGTGTAAACCTGCTTCTAAAGAATCAGAGATGGTGTCTAGTACAATAAACCTGGAAACTTTGCCCCAAGAAGGTCTTAGTTTACCAGAGGCTATTGATTTACTAACAAAGAACAACACAGAAGATAGTGCAGTTTCCAGTTCTGACTGTCTTGAAGTTTTTAAGGTAAGCAGTACAACACACGACACCGCAGCCTCCGACGGATTTGCTGAAAGAAACAAAACCCCAAAGAAGAACTTCAGTCCGGCCAAGTTCGTCAGTGGGAAATGCATCAGGTCACCCGGCTCAGTGCCTACATTCCCCGACGAAGACTCCATGTTGAAAACCCTCAGCAGCCTGAAGAGGATCCCGGACGTCATCAGTCCTCTCAGGAGTCCTGTCCGGATCTCCAAGAGGAACCTCCACCATCCGCAGAAGCCAGGCCATGTCAAGAGTCTGCAAAAAGGTAAGGGGGAGGTTCCTTTGTTATGCTATCCAATGAGGTTAATTTGTATTGTAGAAGCATAGTAGATCAAAGGCAAGAAGTGGTACATTTTGCATGAAAAAAGGAGCAGATCTATTTTACCGCTGACATAATGTGACTTTGGTGAAGGTTCATACGGCTTAGAAATGGCTTAAACACTTTTGTTATAATAGGGCTGGGTGATCTGGGGAAATAATCAACCTTTTTTTATTAAACTTGATATATTTTTCACATTTCATTTGCATAATGTGATTCTCGGGCTATGGAATGCACCTGTCTATAAATATATATATATTTGAACAGAAAGTACATTTTATACATGTAATAGCCAATAACTACTACAAACTACTGTGTGATAATTGTTGTAAAATATAAGTATAGTGGGTAAACTTGTTCCTCCGTGTGTTCTCAGAGTTTTCCAATGCGCCTCCTGACGACGCATCCAAAAAGGTGGACGTTAACAAAGAGAACAAACAGCCAGGCTCTCCGGCTAAAGCGGCGCCCGTGGCTTTAGCCGAGCCCTCTGAGCCTGAACTGGAAGAAGGGGAAATCCTGAGTGAAAGTGAAGAAGCTGAATCTCCTCTTCCTCCTGCCAAAAGACCCAAGTTACCCCGACCTGCGAAAGCCAAGGCCAGCCCAAAGTGTGTCCTAAAACGCAAAAGTGATTCACCAGACTTCATACAAAGCCCACCGAATAAGAGCCGTTTCAAAACTGTTTGTCCAGCTGCGACAAAAGCCACCTTCTCCAGCTCCGACGAGGTCATGGACACATTCAAGCTGGTGCGTACCGAGTTTCGCAAAAAGTACATGAAACTCCACAAAACCTTCCCCAAGAAGAGCTTCTATGGGGTGATGGAGAACTTCCAGGAGTCCTTCTTAGAATTTGTAGAAGGTGCAGATTTTGTTCAGATCTGTAGCCTCACCAAAGAGTTAAAATCTAAGCTCAAGAGGATCATTGTGTCTGTTTTCAGTAAAGTCCTGAATAATGGGATTGTGAAGCGCATTTTTGAGCAGCAAGCCGTGGACCTGAAACAAAAACTCTGGGACTTTGTGGACGTTCAGGTTGACTACTTGTTCAAAGATGTTCACACGGCTTTGAGAAGTATGTGTAATCCTGCGAAGTCCCCAGTAGAGCATAGACATTCCAAAGGCATTGACAAACGCCGTATAGAGTCCCCAGTAAAACGGAAAGAGCAGACACCTCCCAGTTTCAGCAGTGCCATTGTGCCGCTCAGAACCGGCCTAGGAAGCAGAGGGAAAGGCATCCGCATCGCACTGGATAAAAGCGACGACTCGGACAATCAGAGCAGACCCGAACCAAGCGCGGCCATCAGCCTCGCTCCGAAAACTCCAGAAAAAGGAAACTCATCCGTAGTGGTGTCGCACAACGCCAGCGCACACGACAAAACTGACTACGAACTTCTCACTGAGCAGCAAGCCAGCAGTCTCACCTTCAACCTGGTGCGCGACTCTCAAATGGGGGAGATTTTCAAGTGCCTTCTCCAGGGTTCCGACCTGCTGGACAGCGCCACTCCAGCAGGGGATCAAAGCACATGGATCTTTAATACTCCGAGGAAAGACGGAGACAGAATTATAACCATCACCACACCTGGTAAGTTCTCTTCTCCTGCTAAGCTTTTGTCCCCGAACAAATTCGAGAGTCCCTCCAGGTTGATAACCACATGGTCCAGTATTTCTCCGCGTAAAATCTCCTCACCAAACTCCAAAGTTCTACTTAACCCGGCCTTTTTCGACGAAAGCTGTTTGCTTGAGGTACCGACTGAAAACAGGGTCATGCAAAGGCCGTATTCGCTTCTGGCTGAAGATTTGGCGGTGTCGCTTACAATTCCTTCCCCCTTGAAGTCTGACAGCCACCTCAGCTTCCTCCAGCCTCCATCAGTACAGCTCATGTCCACTCCAGACAGCGTGCTCAGCGCCCACATCAGCGAAGACGCTCTTTTGGACGAAGCAGACGCCATGGAGCATGACATCCACCTGGCGTTGGACACAGACAACTCCAGCTGTGGTTCCAGCGCCAGCGTGGGTTCCCAAGGAGCGCCTACACAGTTCCTGTTCAAACCGGACCTCCCCATGCAAGCTCTGGTCATGGAGCGGTCCAATGATCATTTTATTGTTAAGATCAGGCAAGCCTCAAGCGTTAATAGTACGCTAACGGCAAATGATAGCCTCAGTGAAACTCTGACTGAGGATAACGAGGGCCAAGAAAGTGAGTCCGAGTCCGCCATGAGTTCATGCAGTCGTATACAAAATAGCCTCCATACTCTTGTTGAATTTAAAGCCCAAATGGAAGACTTGTCGAACCACAAGCATGAATCTGACGCATCTACATCTCAAGGTTCCCCAAACAGTATTGCTCAAAGTAAAAGCGGCGATAAGCGCTCTCTCCCGGCCCGGACAGTTACCAATCCTGAATCGCGTTTGAGCCAGGCCTCTACATCCGAGCGAGACGAGGCTGCTTCCGAGTCCGAGCCCTGTCTCACCATCGCGGAAGAGTTTGAGTCCACGCCGGAAAAAACGCAAGCTCGCAAAAGCGGAACCAACAAGAAGAGGAAGAGGAACCAGGGTAAATCCAAAGCGAAGCGGAGAAGACTGGATGAGGACGCAGCACCGAGGAACAACAGTGAAGCAGCAGGAGATGGGGCCCTCTCCCCCAACAGTTTGTCTGCCAAAAACGTCATCAGAAGAAAGGGGGAGGTCGTCATGGCTTGGACCAGGTCAGAATTTCCTCGACATTTATTATGTTTGTGGATTTTGATAAACCTCTATAGCATAGTTTTTATGGAATTTCTTTTTTTTTTTTTACCTCCAGAGACGAAGATCGAACTATTCTCCTGGAGTTAAAGACCAAAGGGGCGTCACGAGAGACCTTTTCTTTACTGTCAGAAAAGCTGGACAAGCCCTCTGCAAAGGTATGTTTCCTTGTAATTGAATTTATTTAGAGCTGTAACAAGTGGATTCGTTGATTAGGGAAATACAGAACCGATTAGAATCCTTTTAGATAAGCCGCATTTGTAAAGAAGGTACATTTTTGACTCGCTTGTTTTCTTCTATGTCAGGACTATTTTTAGTTCATCAACTCTTCTCTGACAACAGCCCTATTCACATAAACAACTGTGTATTCTCCAGTGTCGTCTGTTTATGTGCTGTTGGTTATGTTTATGTGAACAGCAGAGCACGTGCACTTTTAAAGACACAGTGATCAGTCCGTCTGATTCTTGGGCGGCACGGTGGCTGAGTGGATAGCACTCTTGCCTCTCAGCAAGAAGGTCCTGGGTTCGAATCCCGGCCGGACCAGGGCCTTTCTGAGTGGAGTTTGCATGTTCTCCCTGTGTCTGCGTAGGTTTCCTCCGGGTACTCCGGTTTCCCCTACCACTAAAAACATGCACAATAGTTCTGGCATGCGCCTCCTGTTCGGCGACCCCGCTCCCATCTCTGTGTGGAGTGAGTGGACCAATGCCCAAAAACAACAATTGTAAACCGCTTTGTGACTCTGGTCTGTGAAAGGCGGTATATAAATAAAGATTACTTACTTACTTCCGTGATCCAGAGCGGTTCAACTCTGAAGATGATTCTATATTTGTCCCACATTCAGGAATTTCCATTGTTGCATCATACATTACAGGCAGTAGGATTAAAGACAACACCAAAACAAAGAAGCCTGTAAAAAACTGAAATTTGATTGAATATGCACCCAACTGACCAATTATGAAAATAATTGTGACTCACAGGTCAAAATTAAAATACATTTGACGTGAAACCTGGAGCTGAAAACTGAGAATACATTTTAAAATATCAGAAAAAGTTCTATACCAAAATCTCTACTAAATAAAATAAAATCTCTAGCTTTAGCAAAAGGGAGTAATCTATAATCTCCAACATTAGCACAATAAAGAAGCAAGAATTAAGTACAAAATCTCTGACTTTAGCGTGATAAGACGTATAAATATGTCTATCTTTGGCACAATAAAGAGGCAAGTGTAAATACTGTATATTCTAGTGCCATGAATAATAATAATAATAATAATAATAACACAAGTTGAGAGCCAAAAATTAGTCAGGGGTTTCTCAACTGATTCAGACTAATGTTGGTGTTCTGAGTCCGAATATCACATGCATTTGTCTCTATCAGGTCAACTTTGTGAGGTACAGCCATAGTGTTACGGATTATGTACGTCTACGTTATTATGGATTCTGCTTATCAAATTTGATGGAGTAAATAAAAACTGAATGATTTTGGATACGTTGACTTTTATTTCTTGAGGAAAACGGAAAAAACGTCAAGGGTTTCTCAGCTGATGATGCGCAGACATTTGTTTTTTACGCAAAATCGATTTAAACAAATATTTCTGTAGCGGACTCAGAGAATCAAAATTAGTCTAATTCAGCTGGAAAACCCTGGACTAATTTCAAAAAATATTTTTTGTTACCCAGTGTAATATGTCCATGTTAGCAGCGTGAGGAGATATGTGCTTTCATATGGCACTTTACCAATCAACAGGAACCCAGGTCTTTGTATAGACAGTGGATTTCTGAGCTTGTGTATCTATGGATCAAGATATTTTGTGCCCTGATTAACACCAAACAAGCTCTTTCGCGTTTATTTCTGTTAAAGACTATTGTTTTTGTGCTTACAGGTCGCAGAACGGTTCCACCAGCTGATGAAGCTCTTTAAGAAGCAGGACAAGTAACGAATACATCAGTACCATAAAAACTGCTGCGGCGACGGATTTTCAACTGGTTTGGTTTCAGTGAAAAAGTGTTTGAGAGTTTCAGGGGTGTCAAACTGGTTCAGAGTTAGCAAAGGTACATGGCTAACAGTGTCCAATCCAATCATAGTTAATATTCTAGAACCATAACAGTTCCACGTTTGCAGCAAATGGAAAACCAGGTCCACATCTGGTTTTCAAATGTTTTAATCGGTGACTGAAGATGTGTTTTATTGTATATAAGTTAAATTGGTTAAAATTTGAAATGCATTATTATGAATACTGTACATAATTCTTTGCTAAAATAAAGTTTTATTTATTCTACTGTACTTTGTTTGAAAATTTGCAAATATTCAATAGTTTTCAGGTCTGGCAGTACCACCCTCGCCGTAAGCTGTGTCAAGCGGTGGAATACCCATGACACCAATCTGCAAAAGTGGGTCACAGAGAATGGATTTTGAGGCCGGGGCCTGAGGCGGAGATTGAAACAGCAGTGACCAGTGATGGCGTTTTATCTATGCATTTGTAAGTCCTGTACGGCGACCCCGCTCCCGTGTGGAGAGCGAGACAGGCCGACTATTGTAAAGCGCTCTGTGATTCTGGTCTGTGGAAGGTGCTATATAAATAACTGCTTACTGTACCATCAAATCGTTAAGTTACAAAACAGCGAAGCAACCAGTCTGTGCCATCGGCCCCTCCCACCACCACCAACCACACACACACACCAGACTCATTCTAATGTGGGGGAAGTGTCTTGCCTAAGGACACAACTACAGTTTACTTTACAGCCGCAGCCACCCCACTGTGGCACCTGCTGTTCCCAGAGGTCTCCCATCACATCACTAACCAGGCCCTGCCCTGCTTAATTACTATAGTAAGCTATTGGAAAAGTAACCGTAGCGGAAGTTACTCCAAACCCGACGACCTTTGACAAACAATCGTTTTCAAACGTGGCTTGGAATATATTTGTAATGGAACAAGCTTTAATCAATACAATCAAAGGAATGGTTAGCACTCTGCATCACAGCAAGAAGGTCCTGGGTTCGATTCCACCGCCTAAAGTTGCATGTTCTCCCTGTGTAGGTTTACCTCACCATAAAAATGTGACTGTGTTTACATATGGAAATTGGCGACGGAGCAACCATTTGGTGCATTCTTTATCTCACGCTGTCTCGTACAAAAACAGAAAAAAGTGGTTTGCAAAAACCAGATGCGGCGCTATTGTAGACTGAGGGGTTTATACGGTTTAGGGGTTTTGGCGGCACGGTGGCTGAGTGGATAGCACTATCGCCTCTCAGCAAGAAGGTCCTGGGTTCGAATCCCGGTTGGACCAGGGCCTTTCTGAGTGGAGTTTGCATGTTCTCCCCGTGTCTGCGTAGGTTTCCTCCGGGTACTCCGGTTTCCCCTACCACTAAAAATATGTCCAATAGGTCTGGCATGCGCCTCCTGTACTGGCCCCACTCCCAAAAATAACAATTGTAAACCGCTTTGAGACTCCGATGTGCAGTGAAAAGGCGGTATATAAATAAAGATTACTTACTTACTTACTTTATACGGTGTCAGCGCTCATCATTAGAGGTCATCAAACATTAGATGATGAAAGCTGTTCATTGATGTGCTATTTCCAGCAGATGAACCCAGTGAAAGTGGACGTGGGCGAAAAGACCCCGAGGGGGATCCTGGGTCATGTGGTGCATGGACCATCGATCAGTCTAAACTAGTCCTATTTAGCAGATACACCAATGCGGGCCAGAGACACACACACTGTGGCCTCCACAGACACACACACTGTGGCCTCCACAGACACACACAGGCTCATTGATGGCTCTTCGCTTCTGTGTCCAACTGGTCCAATGCCCCAGTTTCTTCTGAGGGACCAAATCTTCTCACACATTGAAGGTATGTCGTCGTTTATATTTTATATTTCAATTTAAAAAATTCCGGATTAATTTTGAGAAAGATTCTTGTCTCTGAGAACGTCACTATTTAGAGCATGGACATACAGATTTAATACGTAAATCTAACCTCCATCAAAATGTATTTTTGTTAAGTCCTAACGAATATATCATAACAGTAGATATCTTGGACTTTACAAAATCGTTGAGAATCAGAAAAACAGTTTCAAGAAATGCAGTGATAAAAAACAGCAATTGAGAGCCATTGGTCCATAAATGTTGATTAAGTCCATAAATATAATTCAAAATGAACTGTGCATACTGTGAATACTGTAGATATAACTTCACTGTCAAATAACTAAACACATCTGAGCTCAGCATAATTGTTGTGAGTGGATCGTTGAGCAGAGCTGAACCTAGAGAGCTTGATTCTAGCCGGCTGCTGCTGCTGCTGTTATTATTATTATTATTCTATATTCTATTGTTACTGTCACTGTAGCATTGTACATGTTACAGTAGAATGGTCTAAATTTCAACAAGACCAAACCTAGATATTGTTTGCAGAATTCTGTTGAAGAGAAATGGTATAGAGAAATAGGCTACTGTTGAAAATTACAATGATGGCTTATCTGCGCTTTCTCTTCGATCAGAGTTGATATTTGTAGTGAATCGGTTAATTCACTTTGGAACTTTCTGAATTCAAGTGGGAAAAAGAGTGATGTGAGTGAGGAAACTGAAAAGAGCGGTGACGATCCAGGATTATAGACATTGGTCCCTGATATGACTCCATGTGTTTTTATCATTGCGTTTCTTTTTGATTCTCTGATCTGTGTTGGCGAACCCTCCAACATAACTACTGATGTGGTTTAGGGCGATACAAACAGAGCAACAAAACAACAGTACCTTTAATGCAGCAACAGACTTTTCACTGGTTTTAACAGAAGGGAGCACATCACCCCTGTCTTAGCGTCCCTCCACTGGCTCCCTGTGCGTTTTAGAATTGATTTTAAGATTTTACTGATTACTTTTAAAGCTATTTTAGGCCTGGCACTAAGTTATATTTATGAATTGTTAACCCCCTATGAGCCCCCGCCGCAGCCTTAGACCCTCGGGCAGGTCCCTGTGACTGTTCCAAGGTCGAGGCTCCGGACGAAAGGACCGAGCCTTCTCTGTCCGGGCTCCTCGACTTTGGAACCACCCGAGGAGATAAGGCTCCATCAGTATCCTCTTTTAAATCACTTCTTAAAACCCACTTTTATCAAACAGCTTTTAACTGTTATTTTTAAACTTCACATGCTCTGCTTTGTCTTTGTTGTGTCTCTTTTGTGTTTTGCTCTGTCTGCTTTGTTTTCCTGTATCTATTGTATCTAATTATTTTGACTTTATCCTGACTGTTTTATTATCATGCTGATTGTGCAGCACTTTGTAAACATTGTTTTTAAAAGTGCTATAAAAATAAAGATGATTATTATTATTATAATAATAATAATAATAATAATAATAATAATAACAATTAGACCATTAGAACCAGTGATTCTTGTCCCGTCTGCTCTCTACAAACTCACCAGTATCTCCTGCGACTCCTGCTCATCTCTCTGAAGTCCTCCATGTTGGGGCCACATGACCTCAGTCCTTAATAAAGAGACTGTGCTTTTTGTTTGGGCAGGTGTGACAGAGGATGGGGGACTGGAACTTACTCGGGAGCATCCTTGAAGAGGTCCACATTCACTCTACGATCGTGGGGAAGATCTGGCTGACTATTCTGTTCATCTTCCGGATGCTGGTGCTGGGCGTGGCAGCGGAGGACGTGTGGGACGATGAGCAGACAGAGTTTGTGTGCAACACGGAACAACCCGGCTGCAAAAACGTCTGCTACGACGACGCCTTCCCCATATCTCTCATCCGCTACTGGGTCCTGCAGATCATCTTTGTGTCGTCTCCCTCTCTGGTCTACATGGGGCACGCTCTTTACCGACTCCGGACTCTGGAGAAGGAGAGGCACAGGAAGAAGGCCATCCTGAAGGCTCAGCTGGAGGGCACTGACGCCTTACAAGAGGAGCACAAAAGGATCGAACGAGAGCTGCGTAAACTGGACGAGCAGAGGCGAGTGAGAAAAGCTCCTCTGAGGGGCTCTCTGCTCAGAACATATGTGCTTCATATCCTGACCCGCTCTGTGGTGGAGGTGGGCTTCATCATCGGCCAGTGTGTGCTCTACGGTGTGGGACTGTCCCCTTTGTTTAAGTGTGAGCGAGCGCCTTGTCCCAACAGCGTGGACTGCTTCGTGTCGCGGCCCACAGAGAAGAACATCTTCATGGTGTTCATGTTGGTCATCGCCGGAGTGTCCTTGTTCCTCAACCTGCTGGAGATCTTCCACCTCGGGGTGAAGCAGATCATGCAGAGTCTGTACGGATACCGCTACGAAGAGGAGAGCGTCTGCCCCTCCAAGAAGAACTCCATGGCTCAGTCCATCTGTGTCCTGTCCTCTTCACCTCAGAAGCTGGATCTGTCTCACCTGAGCTGCTCTCTTCTGTCTGAGCCTCAAGGGCCCCCACACAGCCAGGGCAGGGGGAACCAGCCGGGGCAGAAGCAGGGGGATGTGGAGGTGGGGGGGCAGAGGTTCCCTGGTCAGTGCCAAAGGTAACATGTTAATAACGTTAATAATGTGTTTAGGTCTAAATAGTAACGTGTTTAACTGTGACATAGTTTGTGGAAAATCCTCTTTAATCAAAGCTAGAACCCTAAAGACCACAACAAAGACTTTGTTCACAAGGATGCCGTTGGTGTTCCAGCGTGGGGCCTCGAAAGGCGTCCTGCAGCAGTGAGGAGTCCGGGGCCCATCCCCCCGTCCTGCAGTATGGGGCTCAGCCACGGCCCACACTGATGGGGGGCCACATGGAGATCCCTGCGGCCCTCAGGAACATCCAGAGGAGAACGTCGAAGGTGAGTGACATCAGCAGCTCTCCGGACAGCGGACCCCACCCCACAGCCCGTAAGTGCAGCTTCATGTCCAGAGGGATGTCTGAAGGAAAGCTGGCCTCTGCGTCCAACAGTGAGGACTCCCAGAGTGGCCCCGAGCTGGACCAGAGCCTGACCCAGAGAGAGAGTCCGGCGGACACCCCTCCTGCAGCGGGCCGCAGGATGTCCATGGTGAGGACCATAGACCACACTGTCCAGTCTTATGTTCCTGGTCCTTGTACCATCTACCAACTGTACTGAAGAGGCCATACTTTAACATTCAGACTCCCACAATTCTGAAACTACCAGAACTCCCAGATTGTGACCAATGGAATTCTGAAAACTAAGTGCTAAAACTTGAAATACATTTTGAAATAAAGCAAAAACCGTTTGTTGAAGGTTAGCGAATGCTGACCGTTGCTATGGCAACTAGCACTTTCTCATTTCTGGTAAAATATAATTTCATATAAAATAATGATATAGAAATACACACATACAGAAAAGTCACAAAGTAAAGACCAAACATTTACATAAGCTCAGGAGTTACGCTTCCAAAACTAAAGCCGTCAGTTTGACTGCTCTGGGAGTTCTCGTGTTAAAAGTCAAAGTAAAGGAAGGTTTCTCTCCATCAACTGTATCTGAGCAGGTTTTCCCGACTATTTGTCCTTAATCCAAATAACTTTTTCTAGGGAATGAAATCTCAGACAGCGCGCTGGAGATCTGAGATTTCATTCTCTTAAAAAGTTCTTTGGATTAAGGACAAATCGTCGGGAAAATGATGATGGAGAGAAACCTTCCTTGGACTAATCCCTGCAGGTCTGAAGGATGTCTGATCAGTCTGTTCTTGTCCCCACAGAGCATGATCCTGGAGCTGTCGTCCATCATGAAAAAGTGAAAGTCTCCGTCTCCTCTTCCTCCAGACGCCTCTGCTCAAACTGAAAAACCTGTTATTTTATGATGTGGACTTTTTGGCCTCAATCCAAACTGAATCTCACATGAGACTAAAGTGACGTATGATTGTAATCTTAATGTGTTGAATTAGTGGATTTCTAAACTATTATCAAACCAAACAAAAGGGCTCTTTCAATCTGAGTTGTTCTTTCTGATATCTGTAAATACTTCTGTTTTTAATAAACATGTTGTCTTCTATACACTGCTTCTCCTTCACTGTTTGTTGAGCTCACAGTCTGACTTACGTTTAAATAGACACACGCTCCACTACTGCCCTCTTGTGGTCACTTTGAAACGTTCATAAACAACATGTTTAACGAGACATCATTCAACCTGTATAAATTAATATCAATGCATTGGTTTTATCGAGTGCTTTTCAAGACGCTCAAAGACTATACTGTAGCCACAGCTGTGGCACTGTTGTTCCCAGAGGTCTCCCATCACAGAACTAACCAGGCTTTGCCCTGCTTAGCGGCAGAATTCTGACCATATCTGGTTTTTCCATGCAGGTGTGAGTCCACTCCATTATTAAACCTTTCCCCTTGTCCAGGGGCCGACAACACGGAGCCTTTTGACTCTATTCAGGCTGTTCTGTAGAATGCAGATGAAGTTGGCTGAATGACAAAGGACCATCTCCACTGTCACATTAGTGCTATTAATGGAATTCTGCAACACGATCAAGTCCTGAGCTTTACAGCAAGGTACAACATGCTTATAGCTGAGCTGGAGTTGGCTGGATGACATGATCGCAAAGACTACTTTGTGTTAGCAGCAGGGGACCATATAACATGACACAGAGGGCCGTGATGGGCCCGCGGGCCTTGGTTTGGACACGTCTGGGTGAATGACAGAACATGAATGATATGAATCTTTATTTCATAAAGAGAAATTGTGTCTAGACATTAAACAAAAACAAATAAAACATTTTTTTCACAATTAAATATTTACAAAAATGGAGCCGTTTTAGTCGACGAGGGTCGTAGGATTCAGATCAAATGTTTTTAACTATGAGTCACAGACAAACACAAAACATCTAAAGAGGTGAAAACAGAAGCTTCAAAGTTAAAGACATTAAAATAAAGTCAATATTTAATAAATCTGTGAAAAAGCATTTTATAAAAACCTGACGCTTTGATTCAGTCGTCGACCGAGAGGTAAGAGCAGGTCACAGGTAGATACGTGTTCAGGATCAGGGGCCGGGGCCCGGGCTGTGGGCGCCGGGTCAGGGGCCGGGGCCTGGGCTGTGGGCGCCGGGTCAGGGGCCGGGGCCTGGGCTGTGGGCGCCAGGTCAGGGGCCCGGCATACGCTGTGAGCACAGGGGCCAACACACACACATAACACTGGGACTCCCAGAGCAGTCATTTTGACGGCTCCCATTCAAATCAATGGGATTCTGGAAAAAAATCGAATGCTGTTGACAGTAAACAGTGTGTTGCTACGGCAACTAACACATCTCTGGATCAGCACCAGGAGAAAATGCTTTAGCTGCCATAGGATGTTGGTTACCAGGCAACAAGCAGCAATTTAAAATTCATTTGAATTGAATTTTAAATTGAAAAGAATGGAGCAGTCAAAATGATTCTCATTTTAAAAACAAAAGATAATTTCATGAAGGAAATGGACTCCTCTGGGAAGTGAATCTGAAAACTATTCAGTCTGGATCAGTCTGGATCAGTCTGGTGTATGAACGGTGCTATACAAATACACTTACAGGTGAGATAAAAACATTAGAATGACGCTTGGCTGCCTCCGATTTATTTTAGAGAACTGTCTGAACGTGTTTGGGAACCTCTGAACTACTCAACTAGAGGAGCAGCAGGTTGGAAGATCTGGGTGGAGGTGAAAGTGGGAGGTGTAAGTGAGAGGTAGAGAGTGGGAGGTGAGTAGGAGGTGTAGTGGGAGGTGTGCAGTGAGTGTGGGGATGGTGCTTTCAACCTGTAAACTCAGAGTGGACCAGGTGGGAGTCGGAGCCTGGCTGGGGGTGTGAGGCCGTACATGGTGCCGTACATGGTGCCGTACATAACCCATACGGTCTCAGATTACAAACCTTGTCGACAAAAGAAAATAGAAATACTGATGAACAAGAACTTTTTCACATTAGTTCTGAACGGGCTGGATGTGTGGGAGGCTCCATATCCTGAGTGACAAAGACCCCGCAGGAAGTGGGAGGGGCTTAAGGAAACAGCAAAGACCCTCGTGGACCTGTCTCCATCTGCACACCTCTGACGACCATATATGTACACGTCATCCTTGATCAGTGCGAAGGAAGGCCAAGTTTAGGAATGTATAAGGAGTAGCTTTCATCAGAGCTGACGCCGACACGATTCATGAACACTAAGGCAACAATAGTTTGGCAAAATGTAGCTTAATCTGAGCACGTTCTGACTGAGCCTAAAAACAAGATTTTCCAATGGGACAAAGCATAATCTGGTTTTAAACTCCTCCCACTGATGTCTCCTGTTGTTGTGTCCTTGGGCAAGACACTTAACCCCACTTTGCCTGAAGCCCCCGCTGTACCGTCACTGTCAGAGCAGCCTCTTGTGGACTCGGCAGCTGCAGAAATGGACGAAGGGGAAGAAAATGGATGGATAGATCTTGCTTTAAAAAATTTCTTGTGTTTCATCTGACGTCAGGGCAGTGACGCGAATAACAAACGTGGGACAGGACGTGACGTATCCTGGCGGTGCAGTCTGCCGGGTTTATACACAGAGATATAGTAGAAGAAGAAGTGGTTTATACACAGAGATATAGTAGAAGAAGAAGCGCTGTCAAAATGCCATCTTTTTGTGCGGTGTACGTTTGTAGCAACTGCACAAATAGAGAAAGACCAGAGTTTGTTCATGTTCCAACTGTGTCTCATATAAAGGAGGACACTTGAAAAAATCACTGGAATGAGGCGGGCGAGGTGGATCAAGGCTTTCCCAGATAAGCGCCCCCTGCAGGCCACCCCAATGAAACGCAGCAATTTCTTCTGTAATTATTTGTTTTCCAAAAATGCCCGAAATCAAGACTCTTTCGAGAAATATTTGTTAGTGCTGCCTTAGAATTGAGTGTCCCCGATTAAGACTGTTCCAACAACCGTACAGCGCACAGGAGGAGAGCCTTTGACTCCAAAACAGACTTTACATAGTTTTCAATGGGAGCAACACTGTCCCACCTCTGCTCATGCGCCCCCTACAGGCCAGTTTAATGAAACACAAGAATACAGAATTGTCTCAGTTGGAATGAGGAAATGAAGCAACAGTCTTTGTCTCATCGGAGAATCTTCTTTGAACAGAATGAGCTCAGAGTTAAAAAAACACTTGATTCAAGCGATTATTACCTCATATTTGAACGTTTTTTGCGGCGTTGAGGACAAACATTTGCATATGAGGGTCTGACGGTCTAAATGCATCTGCAAAAGTTTCATGAACATTCAGAGTTTTTCCTGAGTTTGTTGCTGTGATCACTGTGATACTGAGGTGAGAGAGGTAGAGTGGGCCAGCCGCCTTCTCACTGCAACCGCCTGTTTCAGACTCAAGGACCCGTGTTTCAGACTCAAGGACCTAAATTTCAGACTCAAGGACCAAGTTTCAGGCTTAAAGACCTAAGTTTCAGACTCAAGGACCAAGTTTCAGGCTCAAAGACCTGTTTCAGACTCTAGGACCAAGTTTCAGGCTCAAAGATCTAAGTTTCAGACTCTAGGACCAAGTTTCAGGCTCAAAGATCTAAGTTTCAGACTCTAGGACCAAGTTTCAGGCTCAAAGACCTAAGTTTCAGACTCTAGGACCAAGTTTCAGGCTCAAAGACCTAAGTTTCAGACTCTAGGACCAAGTTTCAGGCTCAAAGATCTAAGTTTCAGACTCTAGGACCAAGTTTCAGGCTCAAAGACCTGTTTCAGACTCTAGGACCAAGTTTCAGGCTCAAAGATCTAAGTTTCAGACTCTAGGACCAAATTTCAGGCTCAAAGATCTAAGTTTCAGACTCTAGGACCAAGTTTCAGGCTCAAAGATCTAAGTTTCAGACTCTAGGACCAAGTTTCAGGCTCAAAGACCTAAGTTTCAGACTCTAGGACCAAGTTTCAGGCTCAAAGACCTAAGTTTCAGACTCTAGGACCAAGTTTCAGGCTCAAAGATCTAAGTTTCAGACTCTAGGACCAAGTTTCAGGCTCAAAGACCTAAGTTTCAGACTCTAGGACCAAGTTTCAGGCTCAAAGACCTAAGTTTCAGACTCTAGGACCAAGTTTCAGGCTCAAAGATCTAAGTTTCAGACTCAAGGATCTAAGTTTCAGACTCTAGGACCAAGTTTCAGGCTCAAAGATCTAAGTTTCAGACTCAAGGATCTAAGTTTCAGACTTAAGGACCAAGTTTCAGACTCAAAGACCTAAGTTTCACACTCAAGGACCAAGTTTCAGGCTTAAAGACCTAAGTTTCAGACTCAAGGACCAAGTTTCAGGCTCAAAGACCTAAGTTTCAGGCTCAAGGATCTAAGTTTCAGACTCTAGGACCAAGTTTCAGTCTCAAAGACCTAAGATTCAGACTCAAGGATCTAAGTTTCAGACTCAAGGACCCATGTTTCAGACTCAAAGATCTAAGTTTCAGACTCAAGGACCAAGTTTCAGACTCAAGGACCCCCGTTTTAAACCCAAGGCAAAGTATGCAGTAAAACGAATGGGTTTTAAATACTGTCTGTATAAGCCTTTTAGGTCATTTCTTTAGGAACAGCTCAGTAATGTAGCAATGTATGTTTTTATCATGGATTTGAAAAGTTCATTTGCAAAATCACACAAAAGGCATTAAAAAATATCATAACGTTTCAAATTTGGAAAGTCTGATCTATTTTAGTGACAAATAGAGACTTCATACTCACTTCTATTTACGCTAAAGTCAGAGATTTTATACTTCATTCTTGCTTAATGCTTAACAGACACTTCTTAGCATTTTTGGCACATTTTCAAACCGTGTCTGTTTTTGCACAAAGCCAAACTCTACGACTGGATAAAAACATTGGAACATTTGATCTGTGCCTCAAGTGAAAGCAGAAAGTTGGAGTGAAAAGGCGGCTGCAGAAGGCAAAAAGTGCTAATGTAGCGACATACTGAGATTAAAGGTCCGGAAGTGAACCTGGAGCACCATCAGAAATATCCTAGGGGCCCACTCTGCCCCGGGGCCGTATGAGTCCAACAATACTGCTGCTGTTTAAGACGCCTTTAGTGTCGACCGTTCGCACAAAGACACAACACAAAGAGAACACTGGCAAGAGGCGGAGTCACGACCCAAAGGGGGTTTTGTCGGAAAAGTCCAGTTCAATATTCCAAACCCTAGAACCAGGACTACTGGGAGCCGTCTCTGTGCGGCGGCTCGTCCGTGGTGCACTTTTCGGTCATTTCTTGGCAGAAGTCCACAGTGACAGTCTGAGAGCGCTCCAGTCCGTCCATGTCCCGGTCTGGAGGGTCCGGGCTCGGGGAGTGGGCCGTGAGGTCGATGCTGGTGGTGGAGCCGGGGTTGGGGTCACAGGGCGAGGGGCGGGGGGGCGGGTGGTGGGTGGAGATGGAGTTGGGTCTCACCACGGGGCAGTAGTGATGCAGGGACTGGACCTGCTCTGGACTGAGCTGGACGTCCCGGCAGACCTCCTGGGACAGGCACGAGAAGTTCTCCCACAGTTCCCCCATACAGGCCTTCAGCTGGTTCCTCTCACTCAGCAGCTTCTCCTTCTCACACACCTGCAGCAGCAACACAATCGCACAATCACACAAACACACAAACATCAGTGTGAGAAGATGACGTCAAAGAAGACACAGGTCTCAGTTTCAATGTTGACGACTGTAGCAACTGTAACAACACACACACACAAAAACAGAGAGACAGACACGCTCACACACACACTCACACTCACACTCACACACACTCTCACACTCACACACACACACACACACACACTCTCACACACACACACAAACACACAAAAACAGAGAGACAGACACGCTCACACACACAGAGAGACAGAAAGACATACACACACACTCACACACACACACACACCCACACACACACGCACGCACACACACACACACGCACACACACACACACACACACACACACACACACACACACACACACACACACACACACACACACACACCCACACACACACACACACGCACACACACACACACACACAGACACAGACACACACCCACACACACAGACACGCACACGCACACACAGACACGCACACGCACACACATACACACACACACACACACACACACACACACACACACTCACCAGCTTGTGGATCTCACACTCCAGGTTCAGGATACAGTCTAGTTTCCTCTTGCGGCAGCGTTGAGCAGCGATCCGGTTCTTGCTTCGGCGCCGCACGTCGTGGATGAACTCCAGCTGCTCTGACGTCAGTTTGTGCATCTTCACCATGAGCTGGAAGTCGTTCCGCGGGAGATTTGTGATTTGATCGACAGGAAATGGCAGCTTCACCTGGAAATATAGATTATCATCAGCGTCATCATTCTTTCTCTCCGTAAACTACTACTGTAGCCACAGCTGCCCTGGGGCACACTGACAGAAGCGAGGCAACCAGTCTGTGCCATCGGCCCCTCCCACCACCACCAACCACTCACACACACACCAGACTCATTCTAATGTGGGTGAAGTGTCTTGCCTAAGGACACAACCACAGTTTGGCACTTTACAGCCGCCCCACTGTGGCACCTGCTGTTCAGAGGTCTGACTTTTACAGAGGTCTCCCATCACAGCAGTAACCAGGCCCTGCCCTGCTTAGCTTCAGAGGTCTGGCTTTTCCATGAAGGTGCGCACATCATTATATGTTATTATCATTACTGTAGAGAATATAGTATTTTAATAACAATATTTTAGACTCAAGAGACAAATGTAAACAGTGAGTTTTGTGTAACTTCTGATTTTGTGTTGATTTACAAATTAAGTATCAAATTATAATGATGATGTTTTTAATAATTTTTATGTTGTTTTTGACATTTTCTATTGAGGGCTGTAAAAGAAAAAAGCCTTTGGGAAGACTTACCACATCATTTATTAAACAATAAAACTATTGTGTAAATGATGACCACCAGATGGCAGCAGAGAACTACTTTCATTCTCAACATGATCTGCTTTAGTTTACTTTACCCCACACTCTGCAGAGACACAGACTGAAACAATAAGAACTCATGTCTAAGATAAATGTTTCCTTCAGCGGCTTTTCCACCAAAGACTGACAATGATCAAGAAACTGTTTGACATAAACACAGTTAAAGTAAAGTGTGAGGGAGACCCCTGAGGGAGACCCTGAGGGAGACTCTGAGGGAGACCCCTGAGGGAGACCCCTGAGGGAGACCCTGAGGGAGACTCTGAGGGAGACCCTGAGGGAGACTCTGAGGGAGACCCCTGAGGGAGACTCTGAGGGAGACTCTGAGGGAGACTCTGAGGGAGACCCCTGAGGGAGACTCTGAGGGAGACTCTGAGGGAGACCCCTGAGGGAGACCCCTGAGGGAGACCCCTGAGGGAGACCCCTGAGGGAGACCCTGAGGGAGACTCTGAGGGAGACCCTGAGGGAGACTCTGAGGGAGACCCCTGAGGGAGACCCCTGAGGGAGACTCTGAGGGAGACCCCTGAGGAAGACTCTGAGGGAGACCCTGAGGGAGACTCTGAGGGAGACCCTGAGGGAGACCCCTGAGGGAGACCCTGAGGGAGACTCTGAGGGAGACCCCTGAGGGAGACTCTGAGGGAGACTCTGAGGGAGACTCTGAGGGAGACCCCTGAGGGAGACCCCTGAGGGAGACCCCTGAGGGAGACCCTGAGGGTGACCCCTGAGGGTGACCCCTGAGGGCGCAGGTCAAACAGGCCAGAACAAAGAGTCCTGAAGTGTGAGGACTTTGGGAGATGAAGACTGGTCTTAATTAAGCATAATTTTCATAATTTGATATAAAGTGTTGTTCTTATAAAAATAGGACTGACCTCTGGGCCCCGCTCTGGACCGTCGCCCTCAGAGAAGGAGCCGGACTCGTCGCTGGAGTTGGTTCCGTACGACTGCTCACATTTGATCTTGGGACGAACCTGAAGAAAGGAGAGTGAGTCATGTGCGGATGGGATTGAGAAGGGTTCTCCTGGGCCGTACCTGGCCGAAGAGGGCGTCTCCGTGGCCGCTTTGGTCCTGGGGGTCGAGGCTGAGGCAGCGCGTGAGGTTGGAGCAGGGAGAGGACGAGAACTCGAACTGAGGCAGACTGCAGGGAGAGCCCCCACTGCCGTCCTCTGCGTAGGAGTAGGACGAGCAGGAGCTGGACGTCCGAGTGCGGGTCTCGCAGGGCGGGGAGCGTGGGCACACTTTGATGGGCACGGGACAGCTGGTGTTAGGGCGAGAGCGGCACAGGGCGGGGGGCTCAGAGGTGGTGCTTGAAGAGGAGTGTGTCTGGGAGGAAGGCAGGGACTGGCTGGCCCCCGGCCACAGGCCTTTGGGCAAGTGCTCTGAGAGCTCCATCTCCAGAGAGCCTCCGCCTAAGTAGGAATGCACAGGCCCCCCTGGGCGGCTGCCGGCCCCGGAGGAGAAGATGACACTGCGGCGGTCCAGTTCTACATCCTGTTTGAACACTGCGTCACAGGAGGCTTTGAAGGACAGGCCCGAGGCCAGAGGGTCCTGTGGCGAGGCCGGCTGCTCCCCAGGACAAGGCCTGAAGTCTGTGAGGTGGTCTCCCTGAGAGTTTGTTCTGTCCTGGGAACACGGCGGCCTGTGGGTGAGTAGCTCCTGGGAAGAGTTTGATAAACTGGGAACATCCACCACTTTTTTACAAAAGACCCTGAGACAAGAAGGAGAGCGTCTGTTGTTCACAGACACAGGTTTGTCCATTTCCATGGTTGTGACACCGTCCAGATCCTGGACGTCCTGCTCGTCGCCTGAACCACAGCGTCCCTCTTCATCTGCTCGTGGTTCTACCTTGATGTGAGTGAGAGGCAGGGTTTGTCCTGGGACACTCTCGGGGACACTCTCGGGGACACTCTCGGGGACCCTCTCGGGGGAGGGGCTGTGTGAGGAGGTGTGGTTGTGCTTGTTGCAGTTCCATTGGTACTTCCTGTACTTGGGGCAGCGAGGTAAGTCCGAGGCTCCGGGCGACGGCGCGTCCTCGTCCGGCTGCGGAGACCCGAGAGGGGACATGCCCTGGTCGGCCCCCTGCATGCTCTCGTCCTCTGAGGGCCCGTTCTCTGCTGCCTCCTTCTGGTGGGCGTCATTCTCCCCCCGCAGCTGCGCCTCCAGGAAGCGGAAGCATGAGTCTTCCAGGTTGTGAATGCGCAGGAATTGTGCACAGCGAATGACCTCGTGGATGTTGTCTCTGCTGAGTAAGAGCTTAGCGGTGTAGGCGAACTGCAACAACGGTGCAAATCCCTGAGCGCTGACCTGAAACAACACGGAGACGCTCATGAGGCCTCAGCAGCAGCTTTGTGCAGCTCCAGTGTGAAGCAGCCAACAACTTCATCAACAACTTTATATTCTAGTCTAGGGTCAAAGGCTCCGAAGAAAGAAGGACTGAATTATGAATATCTATGTATTCATGAGTCATCTCTCTGAGGGTGTCCATGTTTCTCTGCCAAATGGTTATACAACAGAAGTGACATATTTAGCCACAGACAGAGAACTGACTGAGAACAGAGAGAGAGACCAGAGAGAGACCAGAGAGAGAGACCAGAGAGAGACCAGAGAGAGAGACCAGAGAGAGACCAGAGAGAGACCAGAGAGAGAGACCAGAGAGAGAGACCAGAGAGAGACCAGAGAGAGAGACCAGAGAGAGACCAGAGAGAGAGACCAGAGAGAGACCAGAGAGAGAGACCAGAGAGAGACCAGAGAGAGAGACCAGAGAGAGACCAGAGAGAGAGACCAGAGAGAGACCAGAGAGAGACCAGAGAGAGAGACCAGAGAGAGAGACTAGAGAGAGAGACCAGAGAGAGACCAGAGAGAGAGACCAGAGAGAGACCAGAGAGAGACCAGAGAGAGACCAGAGAGAGAGACCAGAGAGAGACCAGAGAGAGACCAGAGAGAGACCAGAGAGAGAGACCAGAGAGAGAGACCAGAGAGAGACCAGAGAGAGACCAGAGAGAGAGACCAGAGAGAGACCAGAGAGAGAGACCAGAGAGAGAGACCAGAGAGAGACTAGAGAGAGAGACCAGAGAGAGAGACCAGAGAGAGAGACCAGAGAGAGAGACCAGAGAGAGACCAGAGAGAGACCAGAGAGAGAGACCAGAGAGAGAGACCAGAGAGAGAGACCAGAGAGAGACCAGAGAGATCAGAGAGAGAGACCAGAGAGAGAGACCAGAGAGAGACCAGAGAGAGAGACCAGAGAGAGAGACCAGAGAGAGACCAGAGAGAGACCAGAGAGAGACCAGAGAGAGAGACCAGAGAGAGAGACCAGAGAGAGAGACCAGAGAGAGACCAGAGAGAGAGACCAGAGAGAGAGACCAGAGAGAGACCAGAGAGAGAGACCAGAGAGAGAGACCAGAGAGAGAGACCAGAGAGAGAGACCAGAGAGAGACCAGAGAGATCAGAGAGGGAGACCAGAGAGAGAGACCAGAGAGAGAGAGAGAGAGAGAGACCAGAGAGAGAGACCAGAGAGAGACCAGGGAGATCAGAGAGAGACCAGAGAGAGAGACCAGAAAGAGAGAGAGAGAGAGACTAGAGATAGACCAGAGAGAGACCAGAGAGACCAGAGAGAGAGACCAGAGAGAGAGACCAGAGAGAGAGACCAGAGAGAGAGAGAGAGAGACTAGAGAGAGACCAGAAAGAGACCAGAGAGAGACCAGAGAGAGAACAGAGAGAGAGACCAGAGAGAGACCAGAGAGAGACCAGAGAGAGACCAGAGAGAGAGACCAGAGAGAGAGACCAGAGAGAGACCAGAGAGAGAGACCAGAGAGAGAGACCAGAGAGAGAGACCAGAGAGAGAGAGAGAGAGAGACTAGAGAGAGACCAGAGAGAAACCAGAGAGAGAGACCAGAGAGAGAGACCAGAGAGAGAGACCAGAGAGAGAGAGACCAGAGAGAGAGACCAGAGAGAGACCAGGGAGATCAGAGAGAGACCAGAGAGAGAGACCAGAGAGAGAGAGAGAGAGAGAGAGAGAGAGAGAGAGACCAGAGAGACCAGAGAGAGAGACCAGAGAGAGAGAGAGAGAGAGACTAGAGAGAGACCAGAAAGAGAGACCAGAGAGAGACCAGAGAGAGACCAGAGAGAGACCAGAGAGACCAGAGAGAGACCAGAGAGATCAGAGAGAGACCAGAGAGAGACCAGAGAGAGAGACCAGAGAGAGAGACCAGAGAGAGACCAGAGAGAGACCAGAGAGAGACCAGAGAGAGAGACCAGAGAGAGAGAGAGAGAGACTAGAGAGAGACCAGAGAGACCAGAGAGAGACCAGAGAGAGACCAGAGAGAGACCAGAGAGAGAGACCAGAGAGAGAGACCAGAGAGAGAGAGAGAGAGAGAGACTAGAGAGAGACCAGAGAGAGACCAGAGAGACCAGAGAGAGACCAGAGAGAGAGACCAGAGAGACTAGAGAGAGACCAGAAAGAGACCAGAGAGAGACCAGAGAGAGAGACCAGAGAGAGACCAGAGAGAGAGAGACAAGAGAGAGACGAAGAGAGACCAGAGAGAGAGAGACAAGAGAGAGACCAGAAAGACCAGAGAGAGACCAGAGAGAGAGAGAGAGACCAGAGAGAGAGACCAGAGAGAGACCAGAGAGAGACTAGAGAGAGACCAGAGAGAGACCAGAGAGAGACCAGAGAGAGAGACCAGAGAGAGACCAGAGAGAGACCAGAGAGAGAGAGACAAGAGAGAGACCAGAAAGACCAGAGAGAGACCAGAGAGAGAGAGAGAGAGACCAGAGAGAGAGACCAGAGAGAGACCAGAGAGAGAGACCAGAGAGAGACCAGAGAGAGAGACCAGAAAGAGAGAGAGAGACCAGAGAGAGACCAGAGAGAGACCAGAGAGAGAGAGAGAGAGACCAGAGAGAGAGACCAGAGAGAGGCCAGAGAGAGACTAGAGAGAGACCAGAGAGAGACCAGAAAGAGAGAGAGAGACCAGAGAGAGACCAGAGAGAGAGACCAGAAAGAGACCAGAGAGAGAGAGAGAGAGAGACCAGAGAGAGAGACCAGAGAGAGACCAGAGAGAGACCAGAGAGAGACCAGAGAGAGGCCAGAGAGAGACCAGAGAGAGAGACCAGAAAGAGAGAGAGAGACCAGAGAGAAAGTACAGCTGTGGTCTGGTTTGGAGGATGGAGTAGAATCCTCCTCCGTTAGCAAAGCAGACGTAGCGTGACACAACTATATTTTTGATTATGATCTGATTTATGTATTTTGAATATATATTTTTGTCAAATGACTCCGACAAAGTCCTGAATTACCGGCGTGTAGTGAGTGGCGTGTGTAAGGCCGTCAGGCGGGGTGTGCCCTGATGGTCCCATGCAGCTTAAGTGTGTGTGAAGCCAATAGTTTGGACCAGGTAATCCTGCCGAGGCCATGTGGCGAAAGGGAAGCCTTCCATTTACGCCTAATCCTAATAATGAGTTGTGTAGTGAGCCTAAAAGTCCAGACAACACTGAGCTAATCCGTATGGAGCCCGGCTGCGTGAGCTTTCATTTAGTTAGTGAGGAAAACAACAAAAAGCAGCCAACAACTTCATCAACAACTTTATATTCTAGTCTAGGGTCAAAGGCTCCGAAGAAAGAAGGACTGAATTATGAATCTTTATGTATTCATGAGTCATCTCTCTGAGGGTGTCCATGTTTCTCTGCCAAATGGTTATACAACAGAAGTGACATATTTAGCCACAGACAGAGAACTGACTGAGAACAGAGAGAGAGACCAGAGAGAGAGAGAGACAGGAGAGAGACCAGAGAGACCAGAGAGAGAGACCAGAGAGAGAGAGACAGGAGAGAGACCAGAGAGAGAGACCAGAGAGAGAGAGACCAGAGAGAGACCAGAGAGAGAGACCAGAGAGAGACCAGAGAGAGACCAGAGAGAGACCAGAGAGACAGGAGAGAGACCAGAGAGACCAGAGAGAGAGACCAGAGAGAGAGACCAGAGAGAGAGAGACAGGAGAGAGACCAGAGAAAGAGACCAGAGAGAGAGAAAACAACAAAACAAATCATCTCGTTTTGTTTAACTGTAACACATATATTTATCGTAGGATGGAAAGGGAAGAGAGGCACGGTTTGGTTTCTTCTTGTGACGACGTCCAAATCGTTTACCAATTTCTAACACTTTCTGAACTTGGCCATTGCTCCTCATGGACCAGTGGCTCTATGTGTTTTATTAAATCATTGCATTTCTTGAACTGATTCTCTGATCTGTGTTGGTCCATTGACAACTTTGCAAAGTCCCCCGAGATAACCACACCTGTGATTTATTGTTGCTGCACGAAAACAAACATGAAAATAACTGACCTACTGTAACACATCGAAAGGCAATCAGAGACCGTGATGTCGGACACTTCAGAAGAAGGTTTTCAAGATTTTATTTAGCGGATACTATGGTGTATGTTTCGACCCAATACGATACAGGGAGAAATATATTAAATTAAAACGTTCCCCAGTTAGTCATTAAACCTGTATACAGATGGATAATGCTAATCTGCTGGCTCAATGAAGCCCAATAGGGAAGTGCTCATGGACAAAGCTCCAGCTCTCATACCCATCCTTTTAGCGCTCTCTGTGATCCCTCTCTTTAATGTGCTGTAATTATTGTGTGGTTGTTTCTATCTTGTTTCGTTGAGCACTTTGAGATGCTTTGTGTATGAACTGAGCTTCACTTGTGTCTTGCCTCTTTGCCAGGTCTCCCTCAAAAATAGTTTTTTACCGACTTCCTGGTTAAATAAAGGTTAAACATGTCCCCTCGATGACTTGCGGAACAGCAGTAGACACTAAATCTCTTTGTAGTAGATTACCAGAACATGGACTAATCCTCTGGCCCAGAGAGAGGACATGAACCTGCACCGGAGAAAAGTGAGAAGTCTCGTATAAACGGGTCTCAGACGATCACAAAACACCAAACTAAGAGACCAGAGAGAGACCAGAGAGAGACCAGAGAGAGACCAGAGAGAGACCAGAGAGAGACCAGAGAGAGACCAGAGAGAGACCAGAGAGAGACCAGAGAGAGACCAGAGAGAGGCCAGAGAGAGTGACCAGAGAGAGACCAGAGAGAGACCAGAGAGAGAGACCAGAGAGACCAGAGAGAGAGAGAGACCAGAGAGAGAGAGACCAGAGAAAGAGACCAGAGAGAGAGACCAGAGAGAGACCAGAGAGAGAGACCAGAGAGAGACCAGAGAGAGACCAGAGAGAGACCAGAGAGAGACCAGAGAGAGACCAGAGAGAGACCAGAGAGAGGCCAGAGAGAGACCAGAGAGAGACCAGAGAGAGACCAGAGAGAGACCAGAGAGAGAGGCCAGAGAGAGACCAGAGAGAGACCAGAGAGAGACCAGAGAGAGACCAGAGAGAGACCAGAGAGAGACCAGAGAGAGGCCAGAGAGAGACCAGAGAGAGACCAGAGAGAGACCAGAGAGAGACCAGAGAGAGACCAGAGAGAGACCAGAGAGAGACCAGAGAGAGACCAGAGAGAGACCAGAGAGAGACCAGAGAGAGACCAGAGAGAGACCAGAGAGAGACCAGAGAGAGACCAGAGAGAGACCAGAGAGAGACCAGAGAGAGACCAGAGAGAGACCAGAGAGAGACCAGAGAGAGACCAGAGAGAGACCAGAGAGAGACCAGAGAGAGACCAGAGAGAGACCAGAGAGAGACCAGAGAGAGACCAGAGAGAGACCAGAGAGAGACCAGAGAGAGACCAGAGAGAGACCAGAGAGAGACCAGAGAGAGACCAGAGAGAGACCAGAGAGAGACCAGAGAGAGACCAGAGAGAGACCAGAGAGAGACCAGAGAGAGACCAGAGAGAGACCAGAGAGAGACCAGAGAGAGACCAGAGAGAGACCAGAGAGAGACCAGAGAGAGACCAGAGAGAGACCAGAGAGAGACCAGAGAGAGACCAGAGAGAGACCAGAGAGAGACCAGAGAGAGACCAGAGAGAGACCAGAGAGAGACCAGAGAGAGACCAGAGAGCAGAGAGAGACCAGAGAGAGACCAGAGAGAGACCAGAGAGAGACCAGAGAGAGACCAGAGAGAGACCAGAGAGAGACCAGAGAGAGACCAGAGAGAGACCAGAGAGACCAGAGAGAGACCAGAGAGAGACCAGAGAGAGACCAGAGAGAGACCAGAGAGAGACCAGAGAGAGACCAGAGAGACCAGAGAGAGACCAGAGAGAGACCAGAGAGAGACCAGAGAGAGACCAGAGAGAGACCAGAGAGAGACCAGAGAGAGACCAGAGAGAGACCAGAGAGACCAGAGAGAGACCAGAGAGAGACCAGAGAGAGACCAGAGAGAGACCAGAGAGAGACCAGAGAGAGACCAGAGAGAGACCAGAGAGAGACTAGAGAGAGAGACCAGAGAGAGACCAGAGAGAGACCAGAGAGAGACCAGAGAGAGACCAGAGAGAGACCAGAGAGAGACTAGAGAGAGAGACCAGAGAGAGACCAGAGAGAGACCAGAGAGAGACCAGAGAGAGAGACCAGAGAGAGACTAGAGAGAGACCAGAGAGAGACCAGAGAGAGAGACCAGAGAGAGAGACCAGAGAGAGACCAGAGAGAGAGACCAGAGAGAGAGACCAGAGAGAGACCAGAGAGAGAGTAGAGAGAGACCAGAGAGAGACCAGAGAGAGAGACCAGAGAGAGACCAGAGAGAGACCAGAGAGAGACCAGAGAGAGACCAGAGAGAGAGACCAGAGAGAGAGACCAGAGAGAGACCAGAGAGAGACCAGAGAGAGAGACCAGAGAGAGACCAGAGAGAGAGACCAGAGAGAGACCAGAGAGAGACCAGAGAGAGACAAGAGAGAGACCAGAGAGAGACTAGAGAGAGACCAGAGAGAGACCAGAGAAAGACCGGAGAAATACAGGAGAGACCAGAGAGAGACCAGAGAGAGACCAGAGAGACCAGAGAGAGAGACCAGAGAGAGAGACCAGAGAGAGACCAGAGAAAGACCGGAGAAATACAGGAGAGACCAGAGAGAGACCAGAGAGAGACCAGAGAGACCAGAGAGAGACCAGAGAGAGACCAGAGAGAGAGACCAGAGAGAGACCAGAGTGAGACCAGAGAGAGACCAGAGAGAGACCAGCAGGAGGCCAGTCCCTGTGCTCCTCAGAGTCCCAGCAGGAGTGTGTGTAAAACTGCACTTGACTGTTCGGTCTGGGGCCTCTTCAGATTTGACAGAAACACAAATAATTTTAAAAACATGTTTTTATTATATTATTTATCCTCGTTCTTTTTAATGTTCTGTGGATGTTTATGATTTTAAGGCCTTTCCATCTTGTTTAGTTCAGCACGATGTGTATGAACTGTGCTATACTAATAAACCGTCACACAGACTGTAGTAATAACTAATCTGACATGAGGCGGTGCGATGAGTGATGACATATTCTATCTCTGCTCCTTCACCGCAGAATGAGATTAAGATTAAGATTAACGAGATTAAGAGAATACATGACTCTGCAGCAGACTGGTTTTCCAAGGTCAGGTCTGTAACACCAGAAGGACCAGGCCACAGGGACCAGACCACAGGGACCAGGACAGAGGGACCAGGCCACAGGGACCAGGACAGAGGGACCAGACCACAGGGACCAGGCCACAGGGACCAGGACAGAGGGACCAGGCCACAGGGACCAGGACAGAGGGACCAGGCCACAGGGACCAGGCCACAGGGACCAGGCCACAGGGACCAGGACAGAGGGACCAGGCCACAGGGACCAGGCCACAGGGACCAGGCCACAGGGACCAGGCCACAGGGACCAGGACAGAGGGACCAGGCCACAGGGACCAGGCCACAGGGACCAGACCACAGGGACCAGGACAGAGGGACCAGACCACAGGGACCAGGCCACAGGGACCAGGACAGAGGGACCAGGCCACAGGGACCAGGACAGAGGGACCAGGCCACAGGGACCAGGCCACAGGGACCAGGCCACAGGGACCAGGACAGAGGGACCAGGCCACAGGGACCAGGCCACAGGGACCAGGCCACAGGGACCAGGACAGAGGGACCAGGCCACAGGGACCAGGCCACAGGGACCAGACCACAGGGACCAGGCCACAGGGACCAGACCACAGGGACCAGGCCACAGGGACCAGACCACAGGGACCAGGCCACAGGGACCAGGACAGAGGGACCAGGCCACAGGGACCAGGACAGAGGGACCAGGACAGAGGGACCAGGACAGAGGGACCAGGACAGAGGGACCAGGACAGAGGGACCAGGCCACAGGGACCAGACCACAGGGACCAGGACAGAGGGACCAGGCCACAGGGACCAGGACAGAGGAACCAGGCCACAGGGACCAGGCCACAGGGACCAGGCCACACGGACCAGGCCACAGGGACCAGACCACAGGGACCAGGCCACAGGGACCAGGACAGAGGGACCAGGCCACAGGGACCAGGACAGAGGGACCAGGCCACAGGGACCAGACCACAGGGACCAGGCCACAGGGACCAGGCCACAGGGACCAGGACAGAGGGACCAGGCCACAGGGACCAGACCACAGGGACCAGACCACAGGGACCAGGCCACAGGGACCAGGCCACAGGGACCAGGCCACAGGGACCAGGCCACAGGGACCAGGCCACAGGGACCAGGACAGAGGGACCAGGCCACAGGGACCAGGCCACAGGGACCAGGCCACAGGGACCAGGCCACAGGGACCAGGACAGAGGGACCAGGCCACAGGGACCAGGCCACAGGGACCAGACCACAGGGACCAGGCCACAGGGACCAGACCACAGGGACCAGGCCACAGGGACCAGACCACAGCAGCTACACAGGTCCCTGTGGAGCACTGGCTTTCCTAAGGTCTAATTGTTTGATTCTCTGATCTGTTGTTGACAAATTGACAATGTTGTAAAGTCTGAGACTGATTTAGGGCTGTACAAATATATATTGAATCCAATTGAATAAAATGTCTCCTACCTTTTGATTGTATTTATCTTTTCATACGTTCTGGGGCTGACAGACCCAGGACACAGAGGGAGGAGGCCCCGGGACAGACCCAGGACACAGAGGAAGGAGGCCCCGGGACAAACCCAGGACACAGAGGGAGGAGGCCCCGGGACAGACCCAGGACACAGAGGGAGGAGGCCCCGGGACAGACCCAGGACACAGAGGGAGGAGGCCCCAGGGGAGACCCAGGACACAGAGGAAGGAGGCCCCGGGACAGACCCAGGACACAGAGGGAGGAGGCCCCAGGGGAGACCCAGGACACAGAGGGAGGAGGCCCCGGGACAGACCCAGGACACAGAGGGACTGCCTTGGGGTCTCCCTGGATGAGACCTCCGGGCTGACAGAGGCTGACAGAGGCTGTGAATGACTGATGCTGAAGTGTTTCTCACACGTTGACCTCAGACTAAGAGTAAATAACTGAAACCGTGTTTTGCTGCAGTCAGAATCTCCACAGAAACACTTTCAGACGGATCTGATGAAGACAAAGCAGCGTCGTCTTCGTCTAACGTTCTGAGGAAGCTTCTGGAGCTTTGTCTGTTTCTGAAGAGTGAGACGTGAACCATAACCATCTGTAAATGTGTGGAGCGGACTGAACCATTGAGCTGAAAGATTCGACTGTGTTTATGCTTCATGTGTTCAAAAGACCTGTTTTTAACTAACTTTACTGAACACTTTGTATGTTTTATTGTCATTGTTGGGGTCTTTTTACTGCGGTCGAGGGACTGCAGAGAAAACTGTTGATCCATGTGCACTTTCCTAATCAAACAAACAAGAGAATAATCATACTAATAACGTAAATAAATGAATGAAAAAATAAAATAAAATAAAATAACAATAATAATAAAAGAAAATAAAGTAAAATAAAATAAAATAAAATAAAATAAAATAAAATAATAATAAAAAAAAAATATATATATATATAGGTGATGCACATACCTCCTGGGGAAGGCTGAGCACCAGTCCATTGGGGGCCTGACCCACCAGGGCCTGGAGGAAGTACTCGCTGCAGGCTGCCAGGACGGCCCGGTGCCCGCGGAACTCCCTGCCCTCCACCAGGACGGTCACATCACACAGGACGTCCTGCTTCCGCTGGTCATCGAGGCACAGGAGGATGTTGGTGCAATGAACCGTGGACTCATACACGTACATGGGGGCTTCAGGCTCATCCACGGACATTCCGCTCACGCCCTGAAACACACACACACCCGGGGTCAGGACACACAACCCAGGGTCAGGACACAGCTAAAACACACACACACACACACCCGGGGTCAGGACACAGCTGAGACACACACCCAGGGTCAGGACGCAGCTGAGACACACACACACACACACACTCTGGGTCAGGACACAGCTGAGACACACACACACACACACCCAGGGTCAGGACACAGCTGAGACACACACACACACACACCCAGGGTCAGGACACAGCTGAGACACACACACACACACACACTCTGGGTCAGGACACAGCTGAGACCACACACACACACACACCCAGGGTCAGGACACAGCTGAAACACACTCACACACCCAGGGTCAGGACACAGCTGAGACACACACACACACACCCAGGGTCAGGACACAGCTGAAACACACACACACACCCAGGGTCAGGACACAGCTGAGACACACACACACACCACACCCAGGGTCAGGACACAGCTGAAACACACTCACACACCCGGGGTCAGGACACAGCTGAAACACACTCACACACCCAGGGTCAGGACACAGCTGAGACACACACACACACACACACCCAGGGTCAGGACACAGCTGAAACACACACACACACACACCCAGGGTCAGGACACAGCTGAGACACACACACACACACCCAGGGTCAGGACACAGCTGAGACACACACACACACCCGGGGTCAGGACACAGCTGAAACACACACACACACACACACCCAGGGTCAGGACACAGCTGAAACACACACACACACACACCCAGGGTCAGGACACAGCTGAGACACACACACACACCCGGGGTCAGGACACAGCTGAAACACACTCACACACCCAGGGTCAGGACACAGCTGAGACACACACACACACACCCAGGGTCAGGACACAGCTGAGACACACACACACACCCGGGGTCAGGACACAGCTGAAACACACACACACACACACACACACACAGGACACAGCTGAGAGAGCGTTCTTCTGGACTGAGGTCATCCACAACAGAGGGGATGAGATCAGCCGTGAGTCACCAAACAGCACACAATACACACACAACACACAC